GTGGGTGTATCGTACAAAGTTTCGTTCTGATGGTACTAAAGAACGTGACAAAGCCCGATTAGTTGTGTTGGGGAATCATCAGGAGTTTGGGACGGATTATACTGACACGTTTGCACCGGTGGCAAAGTTAACCATGGTGCGTGTTCTTTTGTCTGTTGCAGTTGCTCGTTCGTGGGAGGTTCATCAGTTAGATGTCAACAATGCTTTTTTACATGGGGATCTCAAGGAAGAGGTGTACATGAAGCTACCGCCGGGTTATACAGGGGCATATCCTGGTAAAGTCTGTCGACTCCGAAAGTCTCTGTACGGGCTCCGTCAGTCTCCGCGTAACTGGTTTGCTAAGTTGCGTTGTGCTTTACGTTCGGTTGGGTTTCGTCAGGCACACGCTGATCACACTCTCTTTGTTCGAACCCGTGGTACTGATATTTTGGTTGTTCTAGTTTATGTGGATGATATCCTCCTTGCAGGTAATAACTCGTCCGTGTGTTCGTCGTTCTAGAGATATTTGAACGACTGTTTCTGTTTAAAAGATCTGGGCCCAGTGTCTTATTTTCTGGGAATTGAGTGTGCTAGATCCCCGGAAGGCATGGTTTTGAATCAGCGGAAATATGCATTGGATATTATTCAAGAGGCGGGTCTTTCTGGGTGCAAGCCTGTCTCCACTCCTATTTCCCCTGGGCATTCGCTTGTTACCTCTTCGAGTCCCGAGATTCGTGATCCAGCCAAGTATCGATGTTTAGTTGGCCGCTTGCTGTATTTGACTATTACTCGTCCTGACATTTATTTTTCTGTTCATGTTCTATCTCAGTTCATGCACGCACCACGCCTTGATCACTTACAGGCGGCTATGCGTGTGGTACGTTATCTGAAGGGACATCCGGGTCAGGGTATCCTTTTGCGCGCTGACAGTGACTTATCTCTTACGGCCTACTCAGATTCAGATTGGGCGACTTGTCCTATTACTCGTCGTTCTGTCACTGGATATTTTGTACTTTTAGGAGGCTCCCCGGTTTCGTGGAGGTCCAAAAAGCAGGACACCGTGTCTCGTTCTTCGGCCGAGGCAGAGTACAGGGCCATGGCTAGTGCATGTACGGAGATTCGGTGGCTTCGGGGCCTTCTTGCGGCTCTGTTCGTCCCATGTGTTGCTACTCCGCGGTTGTATTGTGATAATAAGTCTGCGTTGTATATCGCAGCGAATCCAGTGTTTCATGAACGTTCTAAGCATATTGATATCGACTGTCATATTGTTCGTGAGTGCGTTCAGCGCAATCATGTGTCTACAGCCTATGTTCCAACCAGGTTGCAGATCGCGGATATTTTTACAAAGGCGCTCTCCAGTCCTCTTTTCAGTTTTTTACTCTCCAAGTTGGGCATTCTTGATATTCATGCGCCAACTTGAGGGGGAGTATTGGGTATTCCTGTGAATTATTTGTTAATTTTGTAATTAGTTGGCCCGTTGGGCCCGTAGCTGTACACCTTGTATATATACCTTGTTGTGGTAATTTATCAATCAACAAAGTATTTTCCTAAGTTCTACATTACATATCAATGCATTTCCAGGACATAATAATGCATTACTTTATCGAATCTATGTACTACCTAGTACCTACATCTGTTTTACAAGTTGTGAAATTATTTCACACATTGCCCATTTCTACATATTCAGGGTTTTACACCAAATATTTAGGCATTTCTACTCTAAGAATGAGTAGTGAATAATTTAATACATTCATATGAAAACAATTGCGTGCTAGTCATGTTTATTTCGCTGCACACTTATAATAGATGCCTTTCACACATCAATGCATTTTCAGGACATGATTATGCACTAATATCTTGAAACCATGTTCTATTAAACTCTTTTTTATCTCTACTTTTAATGGTGAAATATTAATGCATTCATTAAAAACTATGCACCGACTAAATCTTACAGAGTCTTCTTTTACAGATGGTAAGAGGTTTAGGGTTCGAGTAGTGGGCAGCCAAAAAAACTTGAAGCTATTACTTATATTTGTTGACTGAAATTAGATCAGGTCATTACTTGGGTCATATGCTCCAAGAATATGGGAGCACATGTACGGACACCTAGAGTACTACTCCGTAAAATGGTTTTTTTTGGGTGAAGAAATTAATCTTAAAATTAAGTATGTTCAGTATACACTCGCACTCTCTCGATCATACTCTTATTTCCTTCTTACTTTAATTTGATGAAGTTTTTTTGGAGTATTAAAACATTTTTTACTATAAAGTGAAAAGAATTTTGTTGGAACGGTGTTCCAAGTTCAATATTATCTCTTAAACCAAAATAAAATCTTTGTTCCATAAAATTTCTGACAATTACATACTCCAAGAAAACTGTTAAAAATAGAAAGTATATAGTTATAACTTATATAGGAGTGAGAAAATTGTTGGCAGCCACGTATTCATTAGGGGTAGGTTCGCTTTTAACGGTTCGGTTTTTACCTAAAACCAAAGACAGAACGGAAGGGATATTGGCGGTTCGATTCGATTCGGTTTTGTAATAAAAAGAAGAAAACGAATCATCATACGGTTCGGTATTTAGCGGTTTGAATTTTGGTTTTTTTCAATTCTTTCGGTTTTTTAAAAAAATAATTTAAAAGTGAAATAATATGTTGGTGGTACTAGTAATACTAATGACTTGTTAGTTCCATATTGTGTTGGTATTATTTTTTGACAAACGAATAGATTTATCTAGAATTATTTTAGATATTTTATTTAGACTTAGAAGTCTATCATGTGAAGAAAGAGAAAGAGAAAAGAGCTTGAAGAAAGAAGTCTAATCCTACTTGGTTTACTATTCTTGAGGAGGAAGGCATGGTTGAGAATCCTAAGCACACTCTAACATGGCTATTCTATTCTATTAATATCTTCACCCTCCCTTAGGGTTTTGGATGTGCAAAACTACGAAAAACCAGAAGCAAATTCGATCAAAAGAAAAAAACAAGGTGCAGATTTTGAGAATATAAATTTTCTGGACAGCCCGCACAGATTTGATCATCACCGAAGATCCGACCGTTGGATTTTGCTGAAATTTCAGAGAGTGTTCCCAACACATAGGGCTTCAACGTATTCAAATTTCACGTCAATCGAAGTTACGGATCTTCTGTTATCGAAGTTGCAATCTACACATTGTTGCTGATTTTTTTCCAGAAAACACTGCCCTGGTTTTCTCGATGGTTGGAGTACCAAATCTTGTCTGATCGTGATGAAATTTTAGGATGAGTATAAGGACTCGTGGAGCTTCAATCTGAACGGTGGAGATCGAATTTCAACGGTTCAATCTCGATTTATGAGCTTCGGAACAGCCTGCATATTTTTGTAGATCAAGGATAATCTTTATTTAAAAGTGTATTAGAATCTACGTCCTTGAAGAAGATCTTTGAGAAGGTGTAACAAGCCGTGGCGATAGACGCAAACCGAGTTTGTCGTCAAGTCATTCATAAGTAGACAAATCAATACATTAGAAGGTTCTGTTGTGATTGATTGTGTAATTCTTATGGTGATTTAGTGGAAGGGCTATTACACGGACATGGGCCTTGCAGACGTAGGAGAATTTGCTCCGAACTACGTGAACAATTCTGGTGTCTTGCTTGCTGTTTTTACTTTATATTTTACGTGTGTGCTTGTGACAGAGAAGGTGTTATAGCACTTTGTCAGTCATCTGTTACTGTGACAGTGCTGCAGGATATTCTCTACAACATAGTTGATTGTTTTGTTTGCATAGCTTGTGTTTGGTGTTATCCGCTGCACCCCCACAAACTTACACTAATACTAATGACTATCACCAATCCATGCATTTCTGATGAGGGATATAATCATACTACCTCCGTCCCAGAGTATTTGTCCACTTTCATTTTTACACACCATCCAATACACTTCTTTAATCCATTTTATCTTGTAATTTGTATATTAAAAAATTATAGAAATTATATATTAATAATCTAAATGTTAAGACAAATCAAATAAGATCACACATGACTATATTTAGGCTTACACATTGAGAGAATTTGATGAGTCAAAGTGCTTAGATGAACAGTTCCAAAAGTCAAAACTGGATCAATACTCCGGGACAGAGGGAGTATAATTTTATAACATCTTGTGGGTGGTTCTGGACTTCAAGCCTTTATGTGAATGAAGACACATATTTGATCTGTGATGTTGTGGATTAGGCAATTGACATCCAATCTTGTGGGTGACCAATCAAAAAAGCTGTCATTCAAAAAACTGCAATTATGTGTCCAAAAACTGCATGTATCAACCCAAAAACTGCAAGTAGCAGTAATTTACAATCGAAAACTGTAAAAATGCAGTAAAAAACTGGGAGAAAAGCAATAATTTCCAGTCCCAAACTGCATGGACCAATCAAAAAATGTGTCATTCAAAAAACTGCAATTATTTGTCCAAAAACTGCAAGTATCAACCCAAAAACTGCATAGAGATTCACAATGCATAACAAAAACATCATAATGGTTCACAAAAAAAGTACTAGTTTCCAACAAGGCATGTACTCCCTCCGTCCCATTTTATAACGCCTGTTTCGGTTTACGATGTTTGACTGAAGTTATTTTCAAATCATTTTATATGACAAATGGTATAGAGTTAACAAATAAAATTTAAAGTAGGAGCACAGCAAACTGGTGAGTTGGATCCTAGAGCGCAGCGCAGAAGATTGGAGATTTTGAAGACTGAAGAGCCCAGCGAAAAAAATTGGCGTCTCTGCGAATCTGCGATGGAGGAGTTCGGGTATTCGCGTAACCCTAAAATGCTAAATGCGTAAATTAAAAGCCTAAATTCGGAATTCCTAAAAGTAAGTAAATTTCGGTTTTCAGCGGTTCGGTTCGGTTTTAGATAGCCAAAACCGCAACCGAATACAATCGGTTCGGTTCGTTTTTTTGAGTTCGGTTCCGGTTTTTGCAGTACGGTTTTTTTTGGTATTGTTCAATTGATTTCGGTTCGGTTTTCAGTTTTCGGTTTTTCGGACCCAGCCCTAGTATTCATTACTAAAAGAAGGAATATAGTAAATGTAATGTTTTTTAAGGCATTCAAAAAACTGTGAAAGTGTTCATGGGACATGGAGTATGTAAGATATGTCGGTCATTTGTCAAGTATGCATCAATTGTCTCGTTGTGGAGACTATGTAGTTAAGTCATACTCGAATGTCGTGGACATTTGTATATGTTAAATACACCATAGGGCTAAGATATATACGTTTTTTCTAACACCAATTAGTTTTAAAAGAATTGGTAACGCTTGAGGTCTTACAAGCGGTATGAGAATCAAGATCACGAGTTGAATTCCCAAAGGGAGCATTATCTGAAAGGAAATTTGTAGCGCTTGAGGTCCTTCAAGATCTGGTAAAGAAGATAAAAACAACAATTTCTGTATGAAACCCACATTCGGAAGAAAATACAGACCCTTTTTGGCTAAATCGAACATAAAGTGATCACCGTTAATGTGATGTTTGATAATATTGTTAGAAAAACACGCTAGGATAGTTCGGTGGAAAACAAAAGGTTGAAGTTCTAACATTGTTTTCATCCAAGATACACTTGCGTAAATTATACTCCATCCGTTCTCAAAAATACTTCTTCTTTCATTTTTTCCACTTCCAACAAAACACTTCCACTTTCTATTTAAAAACCATTTTTACCCTTATTTTTTCACACCCTATCTATTACATCATACTTTTTCTCTAATAATCAATCCATCACATCCTACTTTTACCCATCACATCAGGAGTAAAATTGGAAGTCAACTATAATTTTACACTTCCTTGTTTTGGCTCCAAGTCAAAGTAGGATTGTAAACGGAGGGAGTAAGTTATTCTACTTGAACAAAGAATGAAATCCCAATTAGAATTTTGGATAGTAAATTCTACTTGAAATATTTTGTAATATGAAACATGTATGGAATAGTAAAATACGGAGACACGGAGTAATATTTCTCTCTATTCTCTCTATAATTTTCAGCCAAGTTACCAAAAAAAGTAATGTAATAGGAGGATTGTATTGCTCTTAGCATCGTAGTAATACATAATAAACTCCTAGTAACGGCGAGTAGAATAGCTAAGAATGCAGGTGCACAATCTACTAAGGGCATCTCCAACGCATCAGCCATAATGTAAAAAATGAAACTTATAGCTACTACTGTAGCAGTTTTTTGCACTCCAACGGGGCTTCCAAAATTTAGAGCACAAGCTATATATGGATTCAGACCTTCCATTAATAGCGAGTTACTGTAGGTTGGCCAAAAATAAATTGGAATAAAATAATGGCAAGTGGAGGTACGGCTGCATTGGGAGGGAAGAAACAAATATTAAGAGTGTTCAGAGACGGTGCTTTGTGAGCTGTACCTTTGCAGAACAGAGATAAAAACACAACTATAAGGCCGGAGCGATTGACGGAGCTAATCAAAGGTAATGGTTTGTTCGATGGCAACCGGTGTTAATGTGACCGGATGCCGGAGCTATTGCTTCTAAATTCTTAAACAAAGAAGGGAGATAAAGTGAGATAAAAGAATAAGAGACATAGATAAAGAGCATCTTCGGAGCTACTCCCCGGAGTGATTGCCGGAGATTTTGTTCCCATCCAGTGCTTTTTACAGAAAGATAAATAAGGGAGAAGTGGATAATGCAAAGTAGCTAAAATCAAATAAAGAAGATGTGGTTGGAGCACATGTAAAAAAATTACGCCTACATAACACTGTAGATAGTCTAAAAGTGATGTATAGCTTCCCACTTTTAAAAGCTCCATTGGAGATGCTCTAACTAGTCATTAGAAACTATTTAGGTTGTTGGTTTATAGCTTGTCAAGCTACAGTTCATCAACAAGCGAAATGTACAATAATAATGAAATACTCCCTCCGTCCCCAAATAGATTACAATCTTTTTTTCTCTCTCCTCTCGATAACTTTTGTTTGTTTACACGATTTCATCAAATATTTGATAAAATAAAATATTCTTGTCACCTCTTGTTTTGTAAAACTTTTGACACAGTTTTTGAATATGTAATTTTTATATCTTATTGATATGTCAATTTATAAATAAAATGATTTCAAAAAATAGGAAATTTTGCTCCGTAACCCGCAATTTGTAATCAAATTGGGGACGGAGGGAGTATATAAGTAACGAACGATGCCAACAAGCAGGCACTAGCAATAGTTAACGAACGATGCAAACTCTATAGAAACGTGGGATTTTACTTTCCAATTTTGCTCTTATTCAATTAAGGGCCTGTTCTTTAGGATTGGAAAAAAAGAGCTGGAAACTGGAAGAAACTGGAAGGAACTGGAAGGAACTGGAAGAAATTGGAAGAAATTGGAAGGAACTGGAAGAAACTGGAAGAAACTGAAAAAAAATTAAAAGAATCTAAAAAAACTAGAATAAATTGTAAAATCTAAAAAAAGTTTTTAAAAATTTTTTATGTGTGGTTTTAAATTATTCTCATTCTGATTCTTGTTGATATAAATTATTATTATTACTATTATAACAATAATAATAACAATTATTATTATTGTTGTTGTTGTTGTTGTTGTTGTTGTTGTTGTTGTTGGTGGTGGTGGTGGTGGTGGTGGTGGTGGTGGTGGTGGTGTTATCATGTTATCTAAATGATTGTCTTTAAAATTAAAAAAAATATTACGAATATTATATCTCATACATAAAAAGATGATGTTGTTTGATGAACAAACTAAAGATGCAATGAAACAGTTTAGAGATGAATTACCACTTAATATCCTACAATGTAGTTAAACTTAATTGAAGGTACTATATATGAATTATAGTTTTTACAATATGATTATGTTGAGAATGATTGGATTATTTATATTTATATGCACACTATTTTACGTATTAAAGACACTAAAAAGTAAATCAAATAAATAAAACTATAACTTTTTTTGTTAGTTGTATTTTAATTATTGGTGATGTTATTTGTTAGTTGAATTTCCATTTTACACTTCTTGGGTCTTTTTTCTTTTCAAAATGTAGTTTTCTCTTGGTTTTCATAATGTAGTACTCCCCACCACATTCCATATTTTATATTTTAGATTAAAATATTGATGTTTACCTTATATAAATTTAGATTAAAAAATATTCTATATAACTATTTAACCATAATTTTTTAAATAGTTTCCTAATTTTTTCATGTAGATTAATATACAAAAAAATGGTATTATTCATATTAAAAAATTGAAGAAAAAAAATGAATGTAAATCATAAAAATAGTGAGATGAAAAAATGAAATAATTTATAAACTATAGTTATGAACATAAAAGTTGTAATTAAAAAAATTGTAATAATAATAATAATAATATATTTTTTTAGAGTGATTTGTCAGAAAGTAGAAAGAATTTGAAGAAAATAAATATAGTTGGAAGAAATTAGAAAGACTCTGGAAAAAACTGAAAAAAACTGAAAAAAACTGGAAGGAACTGAAAGAAACTGGAAAGAACTGGAAGTTAGGCCCTAAGTATTAATCCGATTGCTGAAGTCCATAAACAAACCACAAAAACCAACCAATCAGCCAACATTTCCCATGTTTTTACGTAAAACAACCAAACTTCTCGCTTCGGGTTTTAGATACTCCGTATCAATTTTGGATAAAAACATAACCCACCCCTACGTACTCCGCAAATCGTGCACAGTTCTTGGACTACTTTTGTCCATTAAAGACGACTCCAAACCCGAGCGAGGACTAGAAGGGGTTCGAGGGGAGGACCGAATCCATCATTCACAGAAGACAGCCTTTTCATTAAAAACAGAGACGAACGAAGGACCAGACCTACCAAATTTCAATGGATCACACTTGCAAGCTAAATCCTTCTCAAACTAAATCAACCGCACAAATAATAATAATAATTCTACCAAAACAAGTCATGTATCTTACTGGTTTACTGAGGGAACATCATAGGGGTGGGGGTCAGGTCAACAAAAAAGACAACAATGACCAGATGTTTTAAATACTACTGTAAAAGAGACCCCAAGTGCCAGTTTGCTGGACGGATTAATACTTACTGGCAAAAAGGAGCACTATACACATTTTACCAGCCGCCACTGTTGCCATTGCTTCCAGACCATCCACCGCCGCCGCCTCCTGGCTGTGATTCGGTGTTGTTTTTCTTTTTGCCACCACCACCCCAGCCAGAATCATCTGCACCACCACCAGTATCCCCGCCCCAGCCACCGCCTCCTCCTCCGTTGCTGCTTCCCCAGGCACCACCTCCCCCACCACCACTTTCGCTTGGTGTATTTCCTCCCCATCCTCCTCCACCAGATCCGCCTCCTCCATTCTCCCCACCCTCATTGGAGTCCCCCCACTTGCGAGACCCATAATCTGAATCCTGTCCGTCATTGCTTCCCCTGTTATTATCATAAGATCCTCTCCCACGACCCCGGCCACGTCCCCTTCCTCGCCCACCAAAGGGCCTTGGAGGCAACCCATCCTGATTGCTCCCATTCCTATCACCCCGGCCTGTTATAAACCAGAAACAAAAACAAAGATGTCTGCGAGTTTAACATGGGTTTTTTAATAATTAGTTTACACGAAACGGAAGTACACCCTCCATTCTAAGGTTTGAAATAACTCTGTCCATAATCATCATATCCTTATGACAACCTTACTCCCAACTAGTTGAGGCCAGTGTTACAAAATGAATAGTGCTAATTAATTGAATAAAATTACTCCCTCCGTCCCATACAAATATTATCACTTTCTTTTTTCGTCTGTCCAAAAAAACTTCCCTTTCCTTTTAAAGTAAAGAATTTCTTGCTTAAAAAAAATCTCTCCTCCTAGCAAATTCTAACCACACCTGATTTACTTTGCAGAAATTTTTATTATAATCCGTGAAAGTCAAAGTGAGAAGCCTTTTATGGGACAGAGTAGTTAACACTATAAACTCGTGCCCGATTGGCCCAAAAGAAGCAATGAATGTTTACACTAGATAACCCTCTGTATTGCAACCTCCTAAGTGAGTTTTAAATTAAGGGTCCATTAAAGAGAAATACTACTCTGGATTTTATTGCCCATTTTCCCATTTATACATCCGTAATAAGTTGTCCACTTTTTACATAAATTAAGGGTCCATTAAAGAGAAATACTACTCTGCATTTTATTGCCCATTTTCCCATTTTTATGGCAATGAGTTATCACCTTTAATAAATGATTTAGGCTCAGATCGATTGGACCGAATGGACCTAATAACCTACTAGACCTAAAAGACTTAATTACTAAAACTGTACTTTTTAAGTTCCGTATTAGACTTTGATGCTCTATTTTAATAGATATCTTAATCTATTTAATTAAAAAGGTTTTTATTAAATAATTTTAAAAAAATAAAAAAAATGTTTCACATTAGTTTCTAATTTTCTATGATTCGACATAAAAGCAGTTCATATTGTGTATCTTTTTTTAGGTTTCCTTTTTTTATTTTTTCTATCTTCACGGTACAAAGTTAAAAGCCTATATTTACTTGATCAAAATAATTAAACAATATGTATTTTTATTCGGTCCAATCGGTCCGGACCGATTCGGTCCTAAGTATTTCGTTCCGGTATGTTCCAAACCCGAATAGATTTGGGTTTGATCTTTGGTTCGTGATTTTATTCAATAAGGTCTTTGGTCCGGTCTGGGTCGGCTTGGTTCGGTCCGGTCTTGGACCAATGAACAACCCTACTCTCAAATCACCATATGTGTTAGCATTGATGACATTAATAAATAAGAAAACTTATTACAAGGACTTTTTGTATTTGACACTGACTCTTTAAAATTAGGATATCATGGAAAGTAAACAACTAAACCGTGATGAAGGGACACATTTCTTAAAGGTGATAACTCATTGCCAAAAAAATTGATACAGAGTAGTAAACATGCCCAGATTGGTTTCTGCTTTCTAGATAGTCAACCAAAGTGAATTAAATAATAGTCATTTCATTTTATTATGTTTTACTGTTGAGGCTTGTTGAATGATACTCCCCTTGTCCCAATTCTAAGTTCCCATTGTGAGATACGGAGTACAATAAATGACTGAATTTATTTTTAATTCATTTATTTGAAAATTGGGGTAGAATTGTTTTTAAAAAAAATAATTAATATATTTAAAAACAAGAGCGGGCTTGACTATCTTTTTTTATGAAATGATCAATGAAAAGATACAAGGAAAGAATGTATAGTTCAACCCTGCGAAGAGTGACAAGGTACTTACATTTGGGGCGAAGGGAGTAATTATTTGTGAATCAAATACATAAATTTTTTATTAAGAAAACTTTTAGCTAATGAGAAGTTATTAAGAGTGAAATTTCATAGAGTTACCTCCTTGCCTATAGCCACCACCTCTTTCATCATTTGATGAACCACCACCCCAGCCACTGCTGCTTGCAGGGCTTCGCATAGGCACCATCGCCGCAACTGATCGAATTGAAGGTGCAGCGTCGGGTGGATCATTGATATGTCTCTGGAAATATGCCACAAGACGATCGAGATCCTCAAACATTCTCTTTCTGAACTTGAACCCTTTAGGATACAGACCCACATATTCATGGTGCGGGTTTGAACTTCTGATGTAGGTGAGGATAAAAGTGCCAGGATGTTCATGAGATATACCAAAAGAATAGACAATCCTCATGGGGTTCTCAGATTTTTCAAGCCGTAGGAGTTCGTCCACTTCTGCTTTAGTGCCCTTCTTGAATTTTCGGTAGTTAAGCATTGCTTTCAGATGAGCAACTAATGGATCAACATAACGGTCCATTACCTGGGTATTATTAAACAGTGAGATTTGGTCTTAAAGAACACAAGCTACCAAACCTTATTACAGATTTGTCAAAACTTGGCCAAGAAATATTCTTCTTTTTTAACATGTGAAGGGCAAGAGCCTTGTACAACTATGTAATCGCTTCAGTCTTTCAGATGTACCACAATCACAAGCTGGCCAGAGAGTGACTACTAGAGACTACAACAGTTAATATGCTTGCATTGAATAACAGTGGGTCCCAGTGGGAACAAGTGCCAGAAATGAGGTCCAATGAAATTTCATATTGAAAATGGAACAATTAGAATATCAAAAGGGTGTTAAACATGGCTGACCTTTCAGAGTCTTTTGTTTGAATAACTAACCATTCAGAAAATGGCTTCCATTTTCATGGAAGAATACATTCTTCATACCAAAGTTTCAAAAGATGATATAGAATGGAATACTAGAAAAGTATTTTCTCAACTATTCATTAGAGTAGGTTTATAGAGAGGACTGAAAACTGTATCTCTGTGCTACTACACTATTACATTAGTACTTAACAGATCAAAAGCATAATGATCTCATATTTTCAGCACTTCTCAACAAATGCAAAGCACCGGTTAGATTGATTGACGATGGAATTTGGCATTCATATTCCTAAATCTTGAAGTCAAATCACAACAGATCTTACATAAAAACACAAAACAAAAAGTACAAAAAGACCTTTGATTGGACAGTAAGGATGTTTACCTCATCTAAATCCTCAAATGTGTCATCCCCAATTTTCAGAGTCTTCCCTATGCGTAGCAGGCTTGTAATATCCTTGTGTTCCTTTCCACCTTCTACTATATCCTTGTGAGCATACACGTCATCATAGACCTTGAGTGTTAAAGTCAGGAAAGATGGACCACGTGAACTAGGACGTATGATACTTTCACCAGGTTCTTTGGCAGACAGAAACTGCACAACCAAACAGAGCACAGATCTCACCGAGTATTAACCTAGGAAGTATGAGCCAAGGGTAAAATATTAAGTATTTAAAATCACTTTCAAAGTGTACTGCAGTAATACCTGCATTGCTTCATCTGCTGTTATGTTTTGAAAACGGGGATGAACAATCATCCTAGGCTTAAAATGCTTCTTTGTGAGCTCCTTCTCTTTGCGAGCTTTTTCTTGTACAGTCTGCAAGTTGCTGTGATTTTCACGGTAGAAATCATCCATAATCCTGTTATTATGGAAGCGATTACCTCTCATATCATTATCCTTGCAACTCAGAAGCACAAGGTATCTGTTCTTTTGGATTGACTTGACTCTACATGGTAGTACTTCGCCTGAGTGAACTACCTCGGTCAAGTCATCTATATCCTTCCAGGCATCTGGTGAGTCCTCCTTCATGACTATGCCAGTCAAACCAGATTCAAGTGCACATATAACTTTCTGAGGCTGGACCCTGCGAACGGTTGCTTGTACTGATATTCCTTCAAACAATGTTTCCTCGGTCTCACCAGAAATCATGTAAAATTCCTCATCCTGGTTGGGCTCCACATATGGTCTTCTCCAATCCTGGAATCCTTGCATCAGCTCCAATCTTATATCATTCAGGGTTTCCTTTTTACTAATTCTCTGCTTTGCATCAGCATATTTATAAGGATCAACACTTTTTAGTAATTTGGGGTTCTCCCTCACATGCTCAATAGCCGCCTCTAGCACTTCATCATCGTCAGCTTTATCTTCGCCAATATCTTTGAGATAAACATCTTTGGCCAATTCTTGTGCAAGACTGTATGATTCTGGATGTATCCGTGTATCATCCAGCAAATCAATGTATGTGTTACTGTTAGAAGCAGATCCACTTCTCCGAACTCGCAGAAAACCAACTGCATTTATGAACACCTTTTTACCAAGGTGATGTTCGGTCAACAGGTTCTTTCTAGTGAATATCGATTGTAGCCTGACCAAGGATCTTTGCAATGAGGCAGCCTTTCTGGGTCCCAGTCCAGAAATAAATTGCAGTGGAGCAAATAGCCACTCATGGCTTATAGCCAAGTTAAGATCTAGACCGACTTGGTTAGTAGCATCCACCATAATCTGTTCAATCATTCCATATTTCTCATCAGGAGTGAGAAAGTTTTCCATTGAACTCAGCTTCCATGATAGGATCTCCCTCCCTGGTCCACAAAGCGAGGCAACCATTGCTAAAGGATTTTGAAGATACCGCCCAAGGGCTACAGCACGCCTCACAATGCCTGAAATGATAGGGAGAAGGTAAGTGTGTGCTTCAGTTGTGTATAAAACTAGTGTAACTGCACAATGAATATACCAGGCTGGGATGGTAACTGGTCATTTGAAACTTGGCAGTTCTCATATAGATGAGGAAGGGACTCGTCCCCATACACTATATAAAAATTATCCATCTCTTGACCGACATCTCTTGGATTTTCCTCAACCATCTTAAAAATGATCTGAGAGAGACAATAAAAAAGAAAAAAAAATCAGTAACAACCCATGGGCATATCATAGACTGAGATATCTAGAAAACAAATTGCAAATACACATCATACATCATATTGTAGCAAGCTATAAAGTATGAAGTGTGACAATATTTAAAAAGAAAAGGTACAGAATACCTCATATATGCCCTCCTTCAGACGTGTACAAGACAAATTTACAGCTCCGAGTACGACGACGTGAGGTTTGTGATCCATCATAAACTTTAATAGCCTTTGTTGATCATTCTTCTTTCTCTGCTCATCATTAACATTCAGACCACGAAGGCTGAGACACCCAGCATACAAGACATCCAGAACTTCTCCAGATGAATCCAACATCACAAAAGTGGTTGCTGGCTTACCAGGTCCCCAGCAGCATGCCATAACCCTTGGTGTTGCATCTTCATCAGAGCTACCACCATTTTCTCTTCGCTGGTATGGACCAACAGACACTTTGTTCCACAAAAGCTGCCCATATTCTGAAAGTAACCAGTTCTTTGCTCTACTAGACAGCATCAATCTTGCTTCTTTCTCCATTGATGGTAAAAGCATATTATTAACTGCATCTTCAAGTATCAACTTCCGCTGCTCATTCCACAACTGAGCAGATTTACTTACACCATCACTAAGGTAATATTCATTGAAATCTGAAGTAAGCTTGTCCAAGACAGTTTGTGGCAGTGTTATAGAAACTTGTAAGAGCTTCTCCTCTTCAGCCTTCTGTATGAGAATCCACTGTGCATCATCAAATTTCGAAAGTGGCTTGTCCTTGAGCCACTTCACCCCCGCAAACTGATGAAAAGGATCAATAGCGGTATTCCCATCAGGAGTGGGGGATGTAGACACTACAGCATCCATCATATATACAGAGCGCACATATTTCCGAACAGTGGGTTCACAGTTAATCTCAACTGCTGCCTACAGTAAGTCCTAAAATTAGCAAGCAGAACAAAGACGTGACACAAAAGATTTAATAAGAGCATTACCATGTGTCTAGCACCCTTGAGAACTTGTTGCGGTGTTTCTAACATCCTACAGACGTAGTTAGATGCCATTTCCTCTGGTGTCTCCTTTGGGTCTTCCAACTCATCCATTCTCTGAGATAAAAAATAAAAATATATAGACACATACTAAATAATAGACACATACTAAATAATGTAAGAATTGTTTCTTGATAGTTTTGATTGTGTCAAAAAGTTGATACCAAGTCCTTGAATATGCTAAAACACACCTATAGTGTTTATGTTAACTTCGAGTGATGCAAGCTCAACACTATGCCTAAGTTATAGCTCTTACATGTCACAATTAGATGTTGCAAAGTATATACTGCCATAGTTTTGAAAGGCGAGAGGCAGGCGAGAGGACCTCTTTCTAAGCGAGGGGTGGGCCATCAAAAGGCAAAATTGGGGTGCGTGTCGGTGTGTGTTTGTGTATAAACACACTGTATATATAAAATATATAGTTATATATTCCATAAATAATATGGGGTACATAAACAAATAATATAGTTATATAAAATATATAACAAAATATAGTCTATAAAAACTACGGAGTATATAGTTATATATTCCAGAATTAATTAATATAAATATATATAAATATAAAATATTACTTCATACCAAATAAAGTATTCCAAAAATGAGAACAAAAAGGACCCAAGCAAAACTAAACAACACTAGCACTGGAGAACAAAAATAATAATTAGTTCACTAGCACTTAAGAGCAAAAAAAAAGTTTTGGCAAAAAAATTGGGGAAAATTGTGCGAAAAAAAGAAATAGATGCACTACAGCCACCCGCTACTTGGGTGTTGATTCTTCTACTTCGGCCATGTTCTCCACTTTATCTGATTGGTTTTGAACTGGTTGGAATAAATTCTGATCTGAATGTAGTTACATTTAAAGCTATTTTTAATCTAATATGATCTAATTCCAATAAGAATAAGTAATAAGTAAAAAAAATAAGTTGCGGAGAACAGGTATATTATGTAAAGCAAGGGCAGCAGCGCGTGTATGAAAACAATTGAGGCAAGGAAATTGATTGCCTGAGGCGACAATTAAGGTTAGAAGAGAGACCGTAGGGATGTCGCCTCGTCTCACTCTCTTGAGGCGCAGTAGGGTCACCTCGGGTACATTAGGCAAGGGAGAGTGTGCAATGATCATGTGGCAATGCTGATACAATACTTTAGTAGGTTTTGTATCAAAACTAAAAGCAAAATCTCACACACACACACTCATTGCAGTTTTGTGGTTAAAAGCACCAATTACTTTGTACTTTGTAGCTTCATGTGTGTGTGTAACTGTATAAATACATTTTTGGGACCTCCTATCTGGCAAGAATGGAGATACTTTCAATAATTTTTTGTGATATTTAATTTAATTTAAACAAATAAAATTTAAAAGTTTAAAAACTCTCAAACATTTCCACATAACTAGTGACATGACTATTTTACTATAAAAGGATATTTATTTACTATGCAGTAACTAGACTTACATGCGATTTGATCATGAATAGTAACTAGACGTGTAAAATGAGACACTGAGTATATATCTATGTCAGTGTGTGTGGCAAATGGTTTCTCAGTAGATTTTAACGCTCAATTTTCACCCCAATAATACTTCATGGATATCAGCTTTATCTTTAATTTTTTTTAGTTAACAATGCATCAAAAGAAGTTAATTAAAAAATCAAAGGAATTCTAGAGAAGCATACATTCTTTTCCAGAGATATCAGCAGCCCAAATTGCTCAGAGCTGTAACCAAACTTATTCACAACTTCCCACAGCCCAGCCTTGCTGTAATAGCTATAGTCTGATTTCCTCACTGGCCTCTTAAACTGACCTTCATCTACACCAATTTCACCTGGGGGGAAGTGTAGGTTGAATTTTAAATCAACGTCATCCACCTCTCTTTCTGACCCTGCTGCTTTAAGTGATTTGGAAATTGATTCAAAAAGCTGTTTGTTCAAATTTAGCCTTGTTTCATCATACACCCTGCGTGACTCCTCTTCAAATCGTTTGCTATAGTACGACTGGAGTGCACTCTTTCTTTTTTGCAGAAGAAGCCACTTTTTGTCTAAATCCTGAATTGCCCAAAGCACCTGCGGTACAGCCTCATTAACATCTTTAATCATTGTGGTTATACGATTAACAAAGATTGAATACAAGTTATGGTAGAATGTCTACCTTGTGCCACTTTAGCCCTGGTTTTTTGTCAGAGGCATTCTCAGAAACATCAACACCACTCTCGTCTGGTTCCTTCAGTAAGGTCATGCACTCCTCCTTCCGATACATAGCAATAAATGATAGCTACAGAGCATTGAAATTATTACTACGTATAATATAGAAAATCCATGAAAGAAATAAGTTCCTGCTAATTCACAGTTAGCACTCACATCCAATTTCTGCACATGCATTAAATCCAAAAACCTCATAATATCATCTTTGTCAATTGGAAGCTCGTTTCCTTCTTCACTTAACCCCGTCTCCCTCTTGTTAAATGGGGATACAAAGCGGAGTTGATTGTAGATCCAGTTAGTCTCATCACTTATGTCCATCTCATCCGTCAGTGAACCAGTGCTTCCCTCAGATAACTAAAAAAATTGCATATACACTAGTCAAACACTTCAGAGTCTAGTGGGGGAGGAGGCAGCCCCATCATATCTACCCCAAAAAGAACAGAGAAGGTGATAATACCAAAAGAAGACCAGTTAAGTCATTCAAACCTGCATTCTTTCTGGGATATCTATTTCTCTGATCCTCTCATCATCCTCAGTCATGTATTTCTCGGAAAGGATAACAGGGTCAAATTCCTTTAGCAGCCTACCAGGTTCATCATAAGGGCCTGCTTTAGTTAATCTTTGCTTTTGAAGCCTAGAGAGCATCTCATCAGGATCACCAAAAATCGCATGTGCTTCCTGAAGTGCAGAGGATGAAACACCAGGTGCCTGTCTTGATTTCTTTTTATTCATTTTCTTCCCTCTGTACCAAACATAGCAATTAGCAAAAGGAAAAAAACAAAGAAAAGAAACAAGAGGAATGTATGGAATGTGCTATACCCCTTGGAAGCGCCATTCTCATCCACATCATATTCGTCAACAATAAAGTCAGCCATTTCATCTTCTTCAACGATATCAGCATCCTCCTCTTCTTCCTCTGGCTGCTCCTCGGCAATATCTTCCAGTGGCTGCCCTGCAAGATATTCATTGCATTTATTATTAATAACAAATCAAGCAAGCAAGATTCAGGTCTTTTAAAGGTGTGATTGTATTTACCGTCATCATCGCCAAATAGGGTGTATTTGAGCTTCTCCTCATCTGTACGAACTATGTGGCCAGAGTCATCAAAATCATCCTCCTCAGAAAAACCAGAACGCCGTTCCTCTGAATCCCGCTGAGCTTTTTTCAGCCGCTTGAATTTTTTGCTCCCCTTAAAATTTGAGGCAATAATTTGAGTAAAAACAGGACTTTACAAATACACCCACCATCAAATTAGAGTTCAAAACAGGAAACGCACTTGTTTTGGGCGATTAACTGCTATGTTGCTTTCTTGCAAAAGTTCATAATCGTCATCATCAAGTTCATAATGCCTCTCAGACTCCCTATACAACCAGAAAACAAGGCCCCAATCAGGAGTGAGCCTAGACACGCATAAATGACTGTGGCATGGAGGAAAATCTCACCTTTTCTTCCTTTTCCTCTTTTTATGTCTCTCTTCGTCACTTTCAGCTAATTCTTCCTCATCTTCCTCTTCATCTACTATAAATCCATCCTTTTCAAACTCATCTTGCCCTTCCTCTGTCATTAACATTCATCAATGGTCACTTGCATTAATTTAAAAAAAAAAATTGTCCACCTATGAAAGGCAGCCCACATTAAGTTGCAGTTTTGCATCAAATGCAGATCAAATTACATTTTAAAAATATATGCAACTCAATCCCAAATCCCAAGTTTTAGAGTATTTGAATGCTAATCACCATATAGAGGCTCCAACAACAACCCAGTTCAATCCCACGAAGGTAGGGTCTGGGATATAGGGGATCCAATGTATAAAAACCTTCCAAACGAAAGCAAATGGGAGAAAGGGATGTGGGGTGAAATGAATTCGGCAATACCATCATCGTCTTCTTCCTCATCATCCTCGTCCACATCTTCCCCGTCCCCAGGCTCTTCATCGCGCTCCTCTTCCTCAACATGCACCTCATCTGCACTCATATTTTGTATACATCAAACGCTCGCACACACGCCCCTATCATATAAAGATATTAATAGAATGAAATGCGTGATATAACCTTCTTCGCCGTCGGAGATCACGTGATTCCTAACCATTTCCGATGAAAGATGAAAGGGAAGCTTGTAGCTAGGCGACCGGAAACCCTAGAAATTCTACACGCTAACGGCTTCCTGAACAGGGTGGACAGTGGAAACCCTAAAAAGATCTGTATCGAACTCGATTCGCGCTCTCGGGTGAAACTAGGGGTGGGTGGGGTTCTTGATGATACTTCTGGAACCTATCACGGACCGCTTTTATTTAAACGGTTCGGTATCGGTATGGGATGAATTCCAAAACCATTCGGTACCATTCCGTTTTGAAACGGAACGGAACAATACCATACCCATGCTCAAACCGTGCAAAAAAAAGAATGTACATTACTCAAAGAATATTGAATTTAATGTATAAATTTGTATAAAAAAAGCACAAGTTTGTTAAATAAAATTATTGATTTCAAATTTAAACGGATCATAAACATAAAGAATAAAAGATAACGAGTCCAAAGTTCAAAAATAATTTTTTTCCCAATTCATATAATATCGGAATACTAATAACTATAAAAAATAATGCTAATAGTAACGATAAATATAATAACAACAATAATAATGAGAGAGTTTAAAAATGAATAATAAAATACGAAGTATTCTATATACGGTAAGATGAAGTAGACAAATACTCCATAATTATTTGAGATATGTACTCTGTATATAGCGTTGGACGGTTCGATACGTGATAATCGGCTTTAAATATATGTATCACGGTCCCGTCCCATTTGGTATCGGTTCGGTTTCGGTTCGTGATGAAAAAAATCAATCCCGTTTGAAAACATTATAAATGGTTCGGTACCATTACGGTCCGGTATGGTACCATGCCAGTTCGGTTTTTTTGCCCACCCCTAGATAAAACCTAAGAAGGCACGTCCGTTTTACTCAAAAATCCAAATGACAGAAAGACCCTCTCAATCCATCAATCCTTTATTACTCCGTATAATAAAGGAGAATCGGATCTACGAGAATGCGACATTTGACACGCTTATTTGACAAAAAAATGGAACACATCAGCAAGCCACGTAATAATCTTTATATAAACAAAGAGGAGTTGGAGTTTGAGAATTACGACATGCAGCGTGCTGAACACATCAACAGACATGACATCAAGAGCATTCACTCAAGATCCCTTCTACTAATTTATGATATAACAACATAAATTATGTAACATAATAAAGTTAGTGAAACATAAATTTAATATTGCATAAAATTAAATTGTTAATGGAAAAATAAAAAGTTTCTTCTTTAACTAAAAGAATTTTGGAAAAATTTTTACTACAATGTTTTGCTCGGATTCTAATTAAGCTTAAAAATCAGTCAAAAGAATAAAAATGAAATTAAATAATTTTTATAGAAAAATTAGAATAAATTATAACAATATAGATTAGTTTATGTTTAAAACTATTTTCATACAAACATAATATTTTTAGATTAGCCAAATATATAAATATAATCAACACAAAACATTTAGGAAAAATATACAATTTTTATCTTTCCCTTTATGTACAAAATGAGAGTCGGGTAACACGTGACTTACTAACTTAAAATAGACAATTATTTATGGTTTAAAATTAAGATTTATTGTTTTCAATTGTCTATTATGATATGATATTTTTTAATTGAAAAATAGAGTACAATTCAACAACAAGTGTGTCGCCACGACATAGTATGTTTAGACAAACATTCTTTACGATTTTAGCATTATTGAGTTAATTTAACTATGGAATAAAGGTCATCGATTTAATATTTTATAATTTTATATTTTTTCAATTCATTTATAATAAAATTTTTATTGAATAAATAAAATATCCTTACTTAATAAAAGATATTTTCTTAATCTCTAAAAATTCATATTTGTTTATGACATGCTTAAATGAAGGTAGTTTTTATTATTTACAATAAAAAACCAAAAATATATATCTTAATCTTTGTATTAAAACTAGTGTTAACCCCGTGCTTCGCACGGGCTCGTATATATTCTAAATTTCTGATATTGTATAAATATAATTTTAGTTGTTTTAGTTTTTTAATAGTGACAAAATATATTTTAAACTGGTTGAATATATATATATATATATATATATATATATATATAGACACACACACACTATGGAGTATATTTTACAACTATGAAATATATTTTATAGAATTATTAAAAAATGAAAAAGTTTTATGTAAATTTATTCAAAGATCTTTTTAAAAAATCAAAATGGACCAATAAATTGAAATGCATAAATCCACATCATTAGTGAGTGCACATGTAGATGCACATGTGGCATGCCACATGTCAACACTACAACAATTGAACTCTCTTTTACATATAGGATATAGGATATAGGATAGGATAGGATACTAAAAATGACTAGAGTTTTTTTAAAACAATCAAATGTTAAAATAAATGTATTTATAAAAAACTATAAAATGTTTTTTTTAATTTTTATTTAGAATCATAAGATTACCTGTAACACCCGCCTTCCGAGGACCCGGTTCACCCGCGACCCAACGGACCGGTAGGGTTACATGGGCGGTCCGAGAACCGTCCGTAGAGAAAAACGCATTAATGTCTATTTATTATATAACGGTTGGGTTTAATTGATGAAATAAGTGCTAGGGAATTAACTCCAAAATGTGTGTGATATAAATGCAGAGTAAAAGCGGAAGTAAATATATAAATCTAAAATAAGTAAAACCACATTTGATGGGTTCAAGTCCAAATGATTAATTAATTCAAATGATTATAATTATTAAACTCGTCCGTGCGCCGCCCATCTTCCCATCATCACAGTCCTCCAGGGTTAGCACATGTACCGTCATGTCTACCTGCGTGTAGCAAAAACAACTACACGCTCAGCAAAAGCTGAGGAGTGAATCTAACAAAAGAACATTAAGTGATAACCCATATGGCTACACACATATTAATACCTGTACTTAACATACGGAAAACCACATATTTACTAACTGATTAATTTGCACTTGATGGGATATTATTACACATAACAAAATGAATAACAACCACATTGAACGTTGATGTGACGTGGAACATACATGATGATGGTATGACTTGATGCATGACTTAAACTATTAGGGACACCCCTGACTTAGTCTCACTTGACAGGATCACCCCTGCACTCCGGTAATGACCCAGGCTCGACAAAATTAAACGTCGCAAGTGAACTAGCAAAAACCGGGTGCTAGCCGTAGCCTGACTACCATGTACGTACACAAAGCCCACCTGATGAAAACTCGTTGGATCCCGAGGGTTCCTGGACGGGCCCACTGTAGTAGGCGCACGGAAGTGTGACCTCCCTACAGCGGTATGCACATGATGATAAACCTAGGACATGTGACTAGAATGAACATGATGAATGCTTGATGTATTTAGCTTTGGTCAACGCCAAGATTATATCAATTAAATAACATACATAATGAAGATTAACATTTCATGCAACGTACAATCAGATTCTGAGTCAATATGGTCAACGGGGCTCGTTCTACAAACTGCCTAGAATTCTGCCCGCAAAACGGTCGACCGTACCCTACCGGCGGTCGACCGTGGGTTGCGTAATGGAGGTCTGGAACACTAACGGTCCACCTCGGTCTTCCGTCGTGGCCGGCGGTCGACCGCCACGGTGGTGGCCGACGGACGGTCAAGGGAAACGGTCCACCGTCCTTGGCGGCGGTCGACCGTCCCGTAGACACTCCACTGACTTTGGCTTCATTTTGATCCGTTTTGTGAACTTGACGCCTTGATTCTTTTTAGAACAATAATGTAAACATTTATGATTATATTCCTAGTGATTCCTAGGTCAATATATACAATTTTTACGTAGTGAACGTTTTGATGGCTAACCTACGAACATGCATAGATTCTACGTAGGTTGCGTACAATATTCCTATGAATATAACAACATAGATTATAACTTGATGTTCTAGAATTAGAGGGGACAACTACTCACCTCTAAATGAAGGGGTTGACGGAACGATGAAACGAGATGAATGTATAGTTGACAACGTTCAACAACGAATGGTTTCTCGTGGACACCTCCTTCTCCTTCTCGTCCTTCTCCTTCTTTCTCTTTGTCGAAGCTCCGTCATCTTCCGGGATTCTACTGGCCGGCGTCCGTAAGGAAGAGGGAGAGAGAGGGAGTTGGATGGTTGTGTGTTAATGGTGTTGGGGGTTACAAATGGTGAAGGGATGAAGGAGAGAGAGTTGTATATAAAGAGCATGTGCAATGGCAAGTAAGAGGCATGCCATGCAATGCCACATCAGCTTCTTCCACACATATCATGGCATGGCAAGACCAAAATGCCTTGCTTTGTGAGGCATGAGTGTGGCACTCCATCCTTATTTTTTTATTTTTTTTAAATAAATTTTTTTAAATTTTTTTATGAAAAAAAATGTACAAGAAAGTAGAATAATTTTTTAATAAAATAAGTAATAAAAATATTTTTTTTATGATTAAAAAACATAAAAAATGTAAAAAAGTGATAAAAATAATGACTTGCCATTGTAGAACTTGCCACTCCATTCATGTAACGACCCGAAATCCGGCTTAGTAGTTACCCGTAATTTTAATAAAAATAAATATAATAATTATTTACTTTAAAATATGGATTATTTATAAATTTATCCATTTTAAATGAAAATTGGGTTTTCAGGTAGATCTCGTAAAATGATGACCAACGGCATATAGTTTGTTAAATTTGAACATACGTGTAAAGCGTGATGAGTAAAATATATAATACAGTTCAAAAAGTAAATATAAAGAATTTAATAATAAAATAATAACTAATAAAACTAAGTTTCCTAAATCTACCCGTCACNACATATAAAAATATGTGTATATGTGTGCTTTGTATATCGTTTTATCATATGAAGTTATCGTAAAATATTATAAATCATGAAAACAAAGAAAATAATAATCTCATACCAACTTATAGTTGATTTAATAATAGTTTGACTTTAATCTAATTTAAAATTAAAGTATTGTTTAATTTGATTTTAAAAATTAGAAACGGATACGGATTTATCCGATATCCGACCGATATCCGACGGATGCGGATACGGTTTTGATTTTCAGTATCCGTCAAGATCCGTATCCGAATTCGATATCCGACAAAAATAAACGGATACGGATTTGGTAATGGCACATCCGATCCGATTAATATCCGTTTACACCCCTACCCGTCACGCACCACGAAACCCACTCCCAGCCCAAATCCTTTTTATAAATACATCTTATTATCCCTACGCCGCACGCATAGAGGACAGAAGCCAGGCGGGAGAGGGAGGAAGACCGCTGCCGCGTACGTAGTAGGTCACAGCTGCTCCGCCGCCGTGCATTTGCACGGGCCGCCGCTGTTTATTCGACGGAAATAGAACTGCCGTCCCGCCGTGTTGCCACTGTGACCAGCGCCGCTGCTTTGCCATCTTGAACCATTGATTTACTTTGTTTAATTCGTCAAATTTGAGGTCAGAACTTTCACATCTAACGCTAGATTATGTGGATAGATTTGAAATTCACGTTCGTAGTTTCGTATGATTGATTACGTAGTTTATTTGTTTATAATTGAATTATGATTTATTCATATTTTATGATGATATTGGAATTGATTGAACTAGAAAGACGAGGTACGTATTTTTACTCTAAATTGTGTGATTTGCATGATTATAATCCTTAAAAATGTTATATGTATCAAATGGTTCGGATAGAATAAAAGTCTGCTAAATCTGTATACTTCTGATGTCGGACGGTAGCCTGGTACCGTCCAAACGGTACCAAGCTACCGCCTCAGGCTCATTGGTGTTGCCGGTACATAAGTGAGACGGTCGGACGGTACCGTACTGACGGTACCCAGGTACCGCCTGGCGGTACCGAGGTACCGTGACGGGTACCGTACCAGCAGCTGTAAATCTCCGTTGTTTGACTGTTTGACCCGATTTGGAACCCGAATTGACTCTGAAACCTTACGTGTTGAATGACGGTAAGTGAAAGGTGTTTACACCCGACACTAGGCCGCTATTTGTTGACTATGAATGTTATTTAACATATTGTATTCTTGTATGAATTTGGAAATATGGAATTGTGAATTTGAATACGGATAGGCTACCTAGCTGAACTATAGGTAGACTGAGGAAACAGAATAAGGAATACAGTTAGGAATAACTGGTCATGTGATGAGCCGGCGTGCACGCATGATCAGTTGGGTAGAGCGTGCGCACGGGGGTCGTAGATCTGCTCATGGATGTGAGTAGGTGGTCCCACCCAGCCGACGTTGGATGACGTCGTATCGAGCGGGTTCTTCCATGGATGTGGTTGGATCAGGACTCTAGAATAAAGTAGTTGGCATTAGCCCAGGATAGGTTATGAGCCTAGAAATAAAGAAGTGGATTATGAGATTAGTTTGTTATTTATGGTAATTATGCTTAATTGATGAATTATATGATATTATTGATGTTGTACTTATGTGCATGATATTGTATGGAATTATGAGCTAGTGGGTTCGTCTATGTGTGTGGTCGAACGTTAGATAGTTCCACTCAGCTTCAATGCTCAGCGTGTAGCCCTTTTTCCTATTTGCTACACGTAGGTAACAGGGACGATGAATAATGCGACGGTCTTGGAGGCAGCGAGGGCGAAGAGATGGATGGATGCTAGCTGGAGGAGTTTATTATTTAATATTTAAGTTTGAATTGTTATATTCTTAAGGGCAAGAACCCAAAGTTGTATTTTGATTAAGTACTTAAAGGCTTCCGCACCGTTTTGATTTACTCTGATGGATATTTAAATATTGTTTTGAATTAAATATTTTTAAATTGTTTTGAAAATTATTGTGTCTGAATACAAATTTAGTAGCAACCCGATCCGCTGGTCCTTGTATTCAGGTCACGCGGGTTGGGGTGTACAATTCACTTGCCACACGCTGACTAGACTATTTTTGATTGGTTAAAATGTTCCACGTCACCGTGCGTCATTCTATTTTTGCCTTGTCATTGTTCATGCTCTAATGGTGGTGGTATAATGAGTATTAATGGAGAATTAAAAATGGAAGAATGAATAAGGATGAGTGGCGTGTGGAATGGTTTTGGGAGTTACCTCCCTAAAACTTACTCGATTGTATAAAATCTGACCTGTACGGTACGCAATTTCCCCCCCGAACGGGTCCGAATTGAGATCCGTTTGCATTTTTGGAATCAAACAGTCAAAATAGATTTAATGACATGTTCACATAATTTTTCTAAGAACTTTATTTTCAAACTTCCGGGTCCACCCTAATCATTAATTAATTTATTTAATTAATGTTGAGAGGTCCGTTATTAAAACATCTTTTTATTTTTAAAACAACATTAACTTTTGAAGTCCATTTAATAAGATCAAAATCTCAATATTTATTAATTTAAAATAACGAGTCTCAATAAATAAATAATATTTATTTATTTAAAACTAGGCCGGTTTGTAGGGCGTTACATTACCAATACTTTTTCATATTTATTTTTTTGAACTAATGCAAAGGGAGTATAATAATTGGATTTTCAATTATATTTTAAATTGATTTTTTGGAATCATAGTATTGTTAATGAAAGATTTTGTTTTTTGAATAATGCAAGAAGAGAATAATCATACATATTTTTTAATCAATGTGAGTGAGGAGAATCATCTTGATGTGGGAGAGTATTTATTTCGCTAATCAAAATTAATATGGAGATGCGGGATAAAAGAATCGTAGTTTCTAAATTATAAGCTCGACTTTCCACTTTTTTTAATACAAGGGGGTAAAAAAATCAAATTTTCTAAAAATCAATACAAGGGAGAACAATTATATTAATGCGGATAGATAAATCATTTTTTTCTAATCTAAACTAATGTGAGAGTGGGGGATCCTTTTTTTTTGCTCATCAAAGGCAGTTGTATAAAAGTTAAATTCATGAATGAGAATAAATATTTAGGAATCTTAGGCCATAAAATAATTTTAATTTGAAGAAAGATATACTCATTATGTTATTTGGGAACACTGACTAACCATTTGAATTATGTAATAATATAAAGTTAAATTGCAAGAAAAATTTCTCTAACGCAATTCTAATATTAGAAACAATTATGTTTCCTATCCCCTAACCTTCTTGGGAGGGGGTTAGGAACCATAAATTTTTTGAAAGGAACATCGTATATGCCCTAATCAGAATTATTTCTAACTGGGGTACACTTTTGGTGTACCCTTAGCATCTCCCATCAATAAAAGGTCATTACATCAGAGTATTTATAGTTCTTATTTCAAAAATTTAATAGAAATATTAAAATTAATGACCCGTTATAAAGTTACTCTTGAAGCGAGATAGATGATTTTCGAAGGGGCCAAACGGCGTCGTTTGAACGCCCAACCAATCTCTAACCCTCTGACCAATCTCCAAAAACGATATGCCTTCTACCCTCAAAATTGTTCTGCTCTCTGTCCTCCTTAGTTGATTCCAACGTTGTCTACCTTGGTATATTGCATATTATCGTTGCATACTTTTACTACCACACTTTTGTTTATCATGGAGAACATCGGTGCAAATGACATTGTCTAGTACAAGAGAAAAGAATTCTCACTCAAACAAAAAGGGAGGAGATCGAGAATGCAAATCATGTACTTTCAGATATCTCTCACTTAAAATTGACTAATTTTGGTTTTAATTTTGAACTATTTGGGCTTGGTCTCAAATTTCTGATGGGCTAACTCAATCTCTGTAAAGTGAATCGTTCTCGCACGCTTCCGAAATCGAAGTGTACACTAATAACGATATTTTAAGTTTATTTTGTTTGAGAGTGAATAATTCAAAAGCACAACAAGTCATTCAACCATGGCAATCACTAATATAATGTTATAGTTATAGTTTATAGTTGAATGCATTCGTAGACATTTTAATTATTACTTTTCGTTTTGTTTTAGATTCCACCATTGAAAAGGAGAAATTGCCTGAAATGAAATTAACTTTGAAATTTTCTTTGGGAGAGTTCCAGAATCTGATGAGTGATGGACAGGAAGATCGTCCAAAAGTCCTTACTTTGTTTAGAGAGAATATCCCGTTTGCATATTTTTTGGATATTGAGTATATTCCAGTGTTTTGAAGACTGGACCGGACCGGCCGGTCCAACCGGTCGACCCGCGAACCGGCAACGTATCCGGTCCGGCTCATTGAAGAAACCCGGCTCCCTTTTGACCCGCCCAAACCCGTCGGACCTGGTGAACCAGTGACCCGGGTCGACCCGTCCGGTTCCCGGGTTTGGGCTTAAATCTATATTTTATTAAATTTTCTAACATAAAAATTGAAAGTGGTGGGTGGGAATCGACCCTAGCACCTCTCGTATACTAGCGCAAGTTGTCAACCAAGTGAGCTACTCATCTTTGTTCAAAATTCAGGTATCAATCATATCTATTTATGGTTTTACAAAAGGTTCATACAAAATTAATATGTAGTTTTTTGTGCAAGTGTGAAATATTTGAATTTATGAACTTTTAAAATAGTTTTAAAAATTGAGAATAATTTAATTTTTATTTGAAAATAAATATACTCTGTATATTTTATATTTAAAAAATTCTTGTCTTTAAAAATTAAGTAATATTATTAATTATAATTTAATATACTATATTTTTTATTTTCAATCATTTTAATCAACTTAATATTAACTTTAAAATGTCATATGTATATAAGAATAAAATATATAGTCTATAATTTTTGAAAATATGAGTATCGCCTTATTATTTAAGTATTTGTTAGAGATTCAATATTAACTTTTCATAATAATAAAAATAATAAAATAAAAATTGAAGGTGTGAAATATCATATGTATAAGGATATTAAAAAAGATATGGAGAAATAATAACATAAATTAAAATATTCTATTAACTAAAAATATCTAATATATCATAAAATATTATTATTATAAACATAGTTGACCGGGTCGTTGACCCCCGGTTCAACCGGTTCGACCGGTCAACCCTTGACCCACTACCTCGTCCGAGTCGACGTCCGGTCCGGTTTTCAAAACATTGGTATATTCCTCCCTCTTTGTTTTTACTAGCATCACTCTCGTGCGTTGCACGGGTCATACTTATATTACTAAATTAAGATCATTTTTAAATGATACAATTTCATATATAATACTCCCTCCGTTCCTGAAACATCTTCCCCTTTCATTTTTCTTTGTCCCCCAAACTCCTTCCTTTTTTGTTAAAAAGCTTCTTTTACCCCTTAATTTTTCATACCCTACCTATCACATCATACATTTTTACTAATAATCTATTTATCACATCTTATTTTTATCAATCACATCAAGGGTATTTTTGGAAAGTCAGCACCAAAATATCCCTCCCTGAATTTTCCAAAAAGTGAACAAGGGAACTTCTTTCGGGACGGAGAGAGTAGAATATAAACATTTTATTATTTTAAGGTACAAAAGTTAATTGTTTTACAAATAACGAAAGACTTCTTTATAAACTACATTACTCATATAATTTTTATATATCAACTTATAAAAAATTTATTTATTTAAAGACTTCTTCATGATTTTCTACTCCGAAAGCATGAATCTTATTTAAGAACTCAAGAGAGTATAAGTCATTCAAAAAATTTGAAAGAGGCTAATCACAAAAAGTGATTGAGAATGACTGTATTTAAAGTATGAATAAATTAAAGTATTTTTCTATTTCCATGCATCTAATTTTTTCCGGGTAAGTTATTAATTAGTGGTTGATTGTTCAACATATAAAGGTATATATTATTCAATATGTTTCCATGTATTAAAGGCACACCTCTTAAAATGATGTCTCCATGAAACGTTTGGGCATGGATCTCTAAATGGACATTTTATTAAATTGAAAGCTTATTTGGTTAGAATTATTACACGATAATAATAACTAAGTACGATAATACATTTCTATGTATTACTTTGACATTTTTTATATTTAATTTCTTTTATTATTTTTTATTTTGATTTTTTTAATTGTGCCTTCCTTAAATGCATAAACTTATAAATATAAATTTCTTCATAAAATATTTGGCACCGAATCTCTAAGTGGAAACATAATGAAATTGAAAGCTTATTTTCTTAACATAATCACACTGTAATAAATTAATAATGATTAAATATGGTAATATTAAGTTTGGCCATGTTCTCTAAATGAAAATATTTTTAAATTGAAAGTTTTTTAGATTAGAATTATTAGACGATAATAATGACTAAGTATTATAATTATTTTTTATTATATCAATTCCAATTTTATAAAAGAGTTTGGTATTTGTTTCCTTTTTAGAAATACATTAGGCATGCGAAATTTCCTTTAATTTATCATTCTAAATAAGAATAGAGTAATTAAGTAATTATGCATGCAAAATTATTCTAAAAAGGAAACAATGTAAATCTTGTTTGCGAAATTAGTCTCATTCCTTTGTTATCAAAATTGAGTAATTATGCATGCAAAATTTCCTTTAATTTATTATTCTATTATTCTTAAAAGTATTTCTTTTTAAGAATAGAGTGATTAAGTAAATAATTACCTATTTAATTAGGCATAAATAATTACTTTTTGATAAAATAATCAGGCCTAAATTATTCTAAGTAATTATAATAATAATAATAATTAGGCGTAAATAATTACCTTTTTAAAAAGGAAACAAAATATAAAATATCTCCTGCACCGTCCCTTCCTTTTTTATTACAATCAAGTAATTAGGCGAAATTGGTTAGGAAACAAATTACTCCCTTCTTTTTTATCAGAATAAAGTGATTATGCATGCAAAATTTCCTTTAATTTATCATTCTAAATAGGTAATATTACACAACCAATCATAGCTGTAGATCTTGTTTGTTCCTTGATATCGACGGTGCAGGAGATGAGTGCATTGGGCGGGAAAATAATTCCCCTGCTTTTAAGATTAAAGTGATGACAACTCATTGCGAGGGAAGCCAAAATAAAGAGATAGAGAGAGATGTGGTTAATTGTTAAAAGAGTTTCTGTGAGGTACTCGTTAATGGAGTTTTTGCTTATTAGCGGCATGAAGTGCTCTCAACTCAACGCTTGCTTTGAAACTTCAAATGAATTGACCTTAGACAAGAATGATTTATTCAAGCACACTTTCCTTCTGCAAAGAAGGGAAAGAAATCGGTTGTAGTTACATACATGATGGTTGTGAACCATTTTCAGACTATGTGTAAGACTTGGATGACAAAAAGAACGAAGGGGAAGATATTGAGGCTGTGAAAATGGTCACACTTTTATTTATTGTTGTTGTTGTGTTAAGTCCTGCTGATCACGACAATCCCACTATACCAGAATAGATACTGACATGATTAGACATTGGAGAGCAGTTAGAGATTTCCAATGGGGACCTAGCCATTTATAGAGTCCTTAGGGTCACTGAAGAAAGACCTAGCTGCTAAGGCCAAATCAGTTGGAAGTGGGGCATCATCAACAATGTATTATACTGGTTTCCTACTTCTTATTTGGGTAAGAAACTTTTCTATTATAATAATTTCTCTTCTGATTTGTATTGTGATCTCATTGAAACTTTCTATATGAAAAGATCTTTTTTTGGAGAGCTGCTTGGAGATTGCAACCAAAATTACACCAAGAATGCAACAAACATCTCTTGCTAGACCCAAAATGAATGTATAAAACATTTTCATAATAAATTATCATTATTTTGGTTGCAGGCTATATAGAGCACTCTATCCCGAAATGTTTGAGGTTACTGTAGAGTGATTTATGAACTTTTATCCTTTACAGCACACCTTGAGTTGGATACTTTTTCGGCAAAGTTAAAAGGTAGAGGTGATGTCCACGTTCTGGTGGAGAGAGGGAGTAGTATGCATACTATTTGAAATATTTGTATCACTAAGTCTCTCCACTATAAATAAGAGTCTTAGGATCCTTACAAAATATCATTAACAACAAGAAGAAGAGTGAAATATCAATAAAGAGAAGAAAATCCTAGAAATATATTATATTTATTCCTCTAATCTTTGAGTGTTTTTCTTTAATTTTATAACAGTCTATTGATAGTTGATTTAATTTAAATATCCAAAATATTAGTCATATATCTTTCTTTGATCATTGATACACACACACAACAATGGATTAACATTTTTAATCTTTCATTTTTAGCTTTTATTTTATTATTCTACTTATGTTATAAAAATTACATTGATTGCAAATAAATATTATAATTGTAATAAACAAAGGTAATAAATAAACACTACATTCCTTGAGAAGGATATTATACTAATTCAAAATGAATGTGATAAAAAAAAGAACAATTTATTATAGGAAAAACTAGAAAATAGGATCACCGTCAGGCAGAGAGAGCCACCGCCAGCCAGGCCGCCACTGTCATTGATAAAGAGAAAATGAGAAGACAGAGCCACTGGGCATTGATCTTTCCGTCCATTTCGCGTCTGCAAACATAGAGCCCAGATGCAAAAGATGTGATTTTTACCCCTCCCATTCGGTCACTAAACCCCCAAGAATAAAAGGCTAGCCCCCCATTCTCGTTTTTCGCCGACAACCCGTTCAGAACCGCTAGCGACTCGTCCAAGATTCACCCTTTCCCGGCATTGTCAGGATTCTTTGTTTCTTTACGAATCATGGGCTGTCAATGTGTCAATTTCTTGATGCAGAAACACCCCTTTTCCTCGCAACCCATGTCGGTACGATTCCCCGGCGGCTATCTCGCCCGAAGTTTCAGCTCAGAAACGGTGAAGTTTCGCCGACTTGTCGCCCCCAAGCTCATTTTGAACGCATCCGGCTCGGATCCGGCACCTGCATCTGCCTCTCGTCCTGCTCCCGTCAGGAATGCCCAGACCAGGTACCACAATGCAATTTTATTGATATACAATTCCTAGCCTTTTATTTCTTTCTATGATATACTTGGTATATCAGTAATCTAAAGAATCCTCTTTTTAAAGAATTCTTCAGAATGTGAAGTGAAATGTAATGCTTGCCTCTGCAGCTTTGGTTACAAAGGCTGCAAGCTAGTTGGATGTGGCTCTGCGCTCCCAAGTTTGAGTATATCCAATGACGATCTTGCGAAAATAGTTGATACTAATGATGAATGGATTTCAGTCCGGACGGGAATCCGCAGTAGAAGAGTGATTTCTGGTTAGGAATGCGCTTGAATCCCATTCTGTCACTATGGTGTCTTAAATATTTCTGCTTTTGCTTTTCTATTGTCTAGATTCATTTAATATTCGAATGTTTTCCGCTGATAGTGAAATGAATTTGGAAAGACATTGTAAAGTGCAGCCAGTGTTTTGTGTTTGTTATGTAATGCAAGGACCATAGTTTATGTACCTGCTTGTATAGGTAAGGACAATTTGACTGCACTAGCTGTGGAGGCTTCAAAGAAAGCTCTTGAGATGGCTGAGGTCGATCCAGATGATGTGGATTTAATTTTATTGTGCACTTCGACACCCGATGATCTCTTTGGCAGTGCACCACAGGTATACATTTCTATATTTCTTCATGTTCTTTTGGCATTTGCAGTGCTTCTTTCCTTTTCTGGAGCTTATTATAAGATTTTAGTTTCCATTTTCTTTATTTTACGGAGTATTTTTCTGAAATGTCACAACTGAGAAGATGCTTGAAAAAAATATTCTTGTATGTGTTTGAGATTTGTTATTCTCTATTTCCAGTGGTTTTATCCGGCACACACATCATTTAGTACACGTGTTACAATTGCCATATTGCATATGGCCATAATCTGCCTTTAGACTTCCACTGCCATTCTATACATGTTTCCTTTAGCGCCGGACATAAATTAGCTATCCCATTCTGCCACGGTGGCTCCAATGATCAACATGCCAAATGAACTTCTTTTTTTAAATAAACAAATGCTCCAACTAGCTTCTTATGTGTTCAAAAGTTATTGTTCTCTCTTTTCGGTGTTCTTATCTGGCACACTCGTTTTTGGGCATGTTTTATTTAATATAAGATTGCATATGGCCAAAATCTGCTCTATGGCGCCTCCATGGACCACCACTGCCATTCTTACACATTTGCTTTTGTGGTTGACCAAAATCCAGGTGTTACATTCCGCTACGGTGACTGCCAATTGACAAACATCACTGGCTCCAATTATCTAATTGTCAAATGAGCATTTATTTTTTTTCATACGCAAAATTATCCAACAATCTTCTTATATGGGTACAAAAGTTATTTCTATCTCTTTTCAGTGTTCTTGTCCGGCACACATGTTTATTTGGACATGTATTATTTAATGGGAGACTGCGTATGCCCAAAACCTTCCTATGACACATCCGTGGACCGCCACCGCCATTCTTTACACATTTCCTTTTGTGGCTGACAAAAAATAAGCTATTCCATCCTGCCACGGTGCCCTCCATTTAACAAATATCACTGGCTCTAACAATGTACACGCAAAACAAATATTTGTTTAATACAAAATGAAATGCTCCAAAAATCTTCTCATATGGGTTCAAAAGTTATTTTCTCTTTTTTCATCTTTTTTATCCTGCACACACGTTCTCTGGTACATATTAATGCCTAACTGCAAATGGTCAAATCTGCCCTATTTTGCCTCCATGTACCGCCACTGCCATCATTTCCACATTTCCTTTTGTAGCTGACAAAAAGAAGCTATTCCATTCTGTCACGGTGGCTTCCATTTTATGAACATCAGTGGCTCCAATAGTCTACATGCGAAACAAACATTTATTTATTTTAATACAAAAAGAAATGCCCCAAGAAATCTTCTTATATGATTCCAAAAGTTAATGTTCTCTCTTTTCAATGTTTTTATCCAGTGCACACATTTCTTTGGTACATATGTTATAAATGGCTAATTGCATATGGCCAAATCTGCTCTATTGTGCCTCCATGGACTGCCACTGCCATCCTTTACACATTTTCTATTGTGGCTGACCAAAAAACCAGCTTTTCCATTCTGCCATGTGGATGCCATTTAACAAACATCACTAGATCCAATAACCTACTCCCTCCATCCCACAAAAAGGTTGCATGATGGAGTCGGCATTCGGCACGGTTATTAGGAGAAGTGAAATTATGTGGTTGAAAGTGGTGCAGAGGAGAGAAATAATATGAGCCACATAAAGCTTTCCATAAAGGAAAAGTAGAACCTTTTTTTTGGACAGATGAAAAAAGAAACGTGGAACCTTTGTATGGGACGGAGAGAGTATGTGCCAAATGAGCATTTATTGTTTTGATAAAAAAAATACCTACTTTTCACAGTGGAATATACATCCAACTAGATTTGATGCAGCTACAGAGAGATTCATAAAAGAAACACAAGCATATATCTTTGTTTATGATACTCAAATTGTTCAATGTACATGATTCTTCCTTTTTTGTGTAAGGATTTTATTGCATTAATTCATTGGTGGCATTCTTCTGCAAAAACAGATTCAAAAAGCATTGGGTTGCAGAAGAAACCCGCTGGCTTTTGATATTACTGCTGCTTGTAGTGGGTTCATGCTGGGATTGACATCTGCTGCTTGCTACATTAGAGGTTAATTTGAGATGTTATATGGCTAGAATTATCTCTTTGCATTACAAACAGCCAATTTTTCTCTATTGATTGGAATGCAAATTTATTTGCCCATTGGGTATTGAACCTGCAATGATTTTTCTATTTCTTTTTCGTTTTGTTGAATTGATAAGTACTAATGTGGCAATATACAGGTGGTGGTTTTAACAATGTCCTTGTAATTGGGGCGGATGCGCTCTCTCGATATGTTGACTGGACAGATAGAGGGACTTGTATCCTCTTTGGTGACGGTGCTGGCGCTGTACTTGTCCAGGTGTTATATTTTTTTTACTATTATAAATATTTGGTTATACTATTTTTGCAATGAACACGACTACATGAAGTTATTTTAACTAATAGTTGTTTCATGGAAGTGAAAAAACATACGTAGTAAAATATGGGTTTTTTTTTTGAATTTCACTTCATTATTCCTTTTCTAAGTGGGTGCGAGATGAAATTCACCCAACATAAAAATTTAACACGTGCTTCTATCGCATGAATTTATAGTGTTAACTAATTTCAAACAGCCAATTGGCACTCAATTTCATGTCGCGGATCCCAATATAGTTGGGATTAAGTTTTGATGTTTTTCCACTGATTCTTATCAAGGTTTATCTGTATGCTTTGCAAGTTGGAGGAGAAATCTACTTTGTTTAGTGACACTGTCTGTTTCCACAACTATAATTACTACCTATGCATCAATTCCAACCATATTTGAAAAGAGTTTTTTTCTGTTTTGCAATCCTCACAATTTTACTCAACCCTGTGCTGATATATCTGAGGTACTTTTACACAACTATTGTGTTTTCACAGGCATGTGACATTGCAGAAGATGGTCTTTTTGCTTTTGACTTGCATAGTGACGGTGAAGGTCAAAGGTATGTGTGAACAAATAGTAGGAAACAGTTTGTGTCGCGGCTAACATGAAGTAGTAGTTATATTTTACAGGCACTTAAATGCTTCTATAAGTGAGAACGGAAGTGATGAACATCTGGGCACAAGCGGTTCGCTAATTGGGTTTCCACCCAAACCTGCCAACTTCTCATGTGTTCAAATGAATGGTAAGGAGGTCTTCAGGTTCGCTGTTCGAGTTGTGCCTCAGTCCATTGAAATTTCTTTAAAGAAAGCCGGCATCACTAACTCCAGCATTGATTGGTTACTTCTACATCAGGTCTCTCTTTCTCTATAAGTACTTGTACACCCCTTGTTTTTGTGAAACGCCGATACNCAAACCCCTCAAATCCCACAATTTCTTTTTTGAGCCTTAGTAGTTAGAAAATGGGGTCATGCAGGCAAACCAGAGGATAATTGACGCAGTGGCAACACGATTGGATATCCCATCTGAACGTGTGATATCAAATCTGTCAAACTATGGGAACACAAGCGCGGCTTCCATTCCATTGGCTTTGGACGAAGCTGTGCGAAGCGGGAAAGTTCAGTGGGGCCATACAATCGCTGCTGCTGGGTTCGGCGCAGGCCTTACGTGGGGCTCTGCAGTCCTCAGGTGGGGATGAATGAAAACAGCTTTGGGAAGTCTCTGTCCTCATATAGCCCTGATGTAAAATATTGGAATGAGAGGATGTTCATAATTTTTGTGTGCCTTTTTACTAGTTTAGTCTCTTTTATCGCCGTGCCCCGAACCTTCTTTTTTATTTATCAGAATTTGAATTTTGTTTATTCTGCATTTTATTGTACTTCACTACAGGTGTGAATAAAATTATATATATATATATATATATATGATATAAATTCTCATTTTATGACATCTTTGCAGTCTGCATTTTAATGTTTAAACCTCCCTTTTGTGTCAAGGAACTCAACCAAAAGCTTAATAGGATGGCCATTTACAGATGTGCATCCATATAAACTAGTGACCTGCTCCAACTCAGACCACAACTAATGTGAGCAGTTGCAACAAATCAACAATTAATGTGTACTTAAATTTGTAGTTTAGTTAGCCACCTAAAAAAAATTAGTAGTTTAGTACTAGTAGAGTAGTGGTTAAAGAAATGTAAGTTTACTAGTGTACTCTTCAACCTAATTTTAAACTACTTTCTCTGCTCCAACAGATTCATATTGCCAAATGCTATGGTGGAGTGGACTTACATTTCACATTATTTTAAATGGATTTTTATATGAGCATAGTAAAGGAATGATTATTATGCTAATAAACATTTTTTATTTTTGCAAAAAGAAAAAGAATACAAGTAGTTTTTACGGAGTACTCCGTATGTATGAATGTCCAAAAAAAAATGGGTGGATTTTAAATCCATTTAAGGAGCACTCATTCATATTTACCCTAGAGAGTAAGTTTTTCATGTTTGTAAATGTACAAATAACACCATAAATTACTTTGATTGTGTTTTAATAAAAATTATAGTATAAAAATTGATACTACGATGCTATGCCTAACCTAATCATCCTCAAAGTGGAGTTGATTTTTTCTTTAAAAAAATACTTTTAGTATTGAAGAAGATGGTATAACACCTTATCTGTTCTTTGTGATCATTTGTATATCATTCTCTAAGCATTTCATTAACTACTTAATTTGTGATATGTTGAGCAAGTCTAGTCGCGCTGCACTTTCAATATTTCATTTAGGATCTGAGAGGTTAAAGCTTAATTTACAAGCTAGATCCAGTCTATTTTTGGATTGCCATCATCGGAGCCTTCTTGAAGTCTCTTGGGGAGGTGTTTGGGGCTACATCATATACAGTGCATTCGAGGTCGATTGCGAGAGTGAATACGGGTTAGCAGAAGTGCTAAAATTTAAGAAAGTATAAGTGTGTACATATTTACTTCAAAATTACTCATATTTGTATAGGATGATGCACTAGTCTTATTAACTTGATCAATAATAAAATAAAAATTATGTTGCTTATTCAATGTAGAGTATAAAAATGAACTGATGCTTGGTTGGCCGTGCAAAAAAAATGTTGAGTATAAAAATGATTTTTTAATAATTGTTTTCTAAACAGCTATTTTATTATTAGTATTTAACTTAATGCATTTTTAATTTCATTGATAATCAGTATTTATCTAATTTGGATGAAAAACCAAAATGAATAGATATTTTAAGGTTGAAAACATATTTAATAAAACAAGAGTACAATCTATTTTTTCACCAAGTGGAATTCTCCATTTTTTTCATTCGACTAAAAAAATAAATTTTCACTTCTTTTCATTGTATAAAAGGAATTGATGAGTGGCATAGGCACACCTACAATAGTTCGTGAATTACAAAATTATAGTACGAGCACTAAGATGTATTAAATCATCTTAGAGCCATACAACCGTACTTAAATCGTCAGTTCGAAGATTAAACACTTCCTTATTTGCTTAAAAGAAAATTATGTTTCCTAGGTTTGGGGAATAATGGAGCTTGGATATACCCACATATACTAGTGAAGATGAAGGAGTAATTCTAAAATCAAATGAAAATTAATCCAAAAATGAAAAGGTTGTTGTAGAAATCAATGACCAAACTATGAATGCTATTTTTGGAGTCATTGATAGAACTCAAACCCGCATATCTCGAATTGTACAGAGACTAAGAAAGCATGAAATATTTCGTTTTCTAACGTAAAGAATATCAAACTTCAAATTGTGATGTCCATATTCAAAAGTCCTAACATGGAGGAAACTGAGTCAATCATATTAAGATATTAATAAACTTTATTGATAAAGCTATTTTTGGACTAAACCCCTTTTTTTCATGTTCGCCTAATCTCTATGGACGCGTAAGAGAGTTGGTGATTGAAGTTGAAAACTTGTTAAACCATTTGTAGAAAAAACTTTTGCGAAAAGTTTATGTTCTCTTCCACGAAAATTCTCTATGGACATTAAGGTTACTAGATCTCTAACCTGTGTGTTGCACGTTTAGTATTTTGAGACAGTGAAAAACATATATATTAAATTTATAGTATATATATAAAGACTATGAAACAAAATTGTATACAATATAAAGATTAAAAGCATTACATACGTTGCACTAGTATCACACTCGTGCGTTGCACGAGTCATTTTTATGTTATTAAATTCAAATCATTTTTCAATGATAAAAAATGAGATGCAATAGAATATAGAGATTATTTTATTTTAAGGTACAAAACATCACTTCTTTACAAATTTCGAAGGACTTTTTTATAGACTACATTATTTGAACAATTTGTTGGAATATTTTCTTCATTGCATATCAGAATCTTCAACCCACTACAATTAGTTATTCTCTTGAAACTGCAACATAGAGTTGTCCATAACTAAAATATGTTGGATTATTGTTACGGAAACCTGTGATAAACCCTAATTGCTCGTACTTTCATCATTAACATTGATGACCTCTCATCAACATTTTTCAAAGCACTTAAGATCCTCATTTTTCGTAGGAATGACAGTTTTGAAACGTAGGAGAAAAATTCACGATGAATGTAATGGCTATGAAAACTTTGTAAATTCATGTATTTATAATATGATTTTTGCATACAAGGTTAAAAAAATTATTCATTTTCCAAAGTGCTAAAACGAATTTAAATTACTATTACTATATTTAAATTATTTAATTTATTATATTTAAAATTACTATAATTAAAATTACTATAATTCAAATGACACAGTAATTAATACGGAGTATACAATTATCTAGTCACAAGGTTATATAATTAATACATTGGTTAATTATTACTTCCCCTGTCCCAATTTATAGTGCATGTTCACTATTCATAAGGTCAAACATTTTTCATTTTTTTCTATATATATATATATATATATATATATATATATATATATATATATATAGGGACCGGTTCCCGTGAGAATGCACCTTGTGGAGAGAAATGAGAATAAAATCTAGCCTTCGGATCTGATGCATCGTGTGGCTCAGATTGCATCCTGCGCTAAGATTTTGAGATAGTGCATTTTCGAAGGTTTATGATGCATTTCAACGTGATGCATTTTCGCACCATTTTGGTGCATCTAATTTTGATGAAATCTTGACCCTTAGATCTCACAATCTAAAGCACCAGATTCATTCTCATTTCTCTCCTAAGATTGCATTCTCACCTGAACCGGCATATATATATATATGTATATATATATATATATATATATATATATATATATATATATATATATATATATATATGCCGGTTCAGGTGAGAATGCACCTTGGTAAAAGAAATAAAAATAAAATCTAGCCTTTGGATCTGATGCATCGTGCGACTCAGATTGCATCATGCACTCAGATTTTGAGATAGTTCATTTTCAAGGGGTTTTGGTGCATTTCGACATGATGCATTTTCAAACCATTTTGGTGCACCTAATTTTGATGCAATCATGACCCTTAGATCTCACAATCTAAAGCACGAGATTCATTCTTATTTCTTTCATAAGATCGCATTCTTACCTGATATATATATATATATATATATATATATATATATATATATATATATATATATATATATTACCTTTATCGATTGAGATATTCTTAGATACGCCATTTAGGGGTGGGGGGCTATTCACAAGAGTTAAAGAAGCTACATTCATTTATGGGTGGGTAAGATTGCATGTTGTTGACAAGATTCATTGGTATCTGCGGGGTACGAGTTGACGTGAATGTTATTTATTTTTAGATTCCTTTCTTATAATTCTCAAGCTCTCTTGAATGTTATTCTTCTTGCTTTACTCAGTTTTTGTGAAGCTTTCTTAAATATTACTCTTATCACTGAGTGTTTTTCTTCATCGTAAACCCTATGTTTTATGGGTTTGGAAAAAGCATGTGAGGTCCATATGCAAGAGAGGAGCAAATGCAATTAATGTGAATGAAAATTTTCAAATATTTCATTTTTGATTTGGGAAAAGAAAATATTATGTGAATAATCCAAGCTCAGCCCCATTTACCCGAGCTCGATCTCATCACTCACATACTCATCCTCGTCTAGATCTAGGCTCATAAACATATGACCTTCATTTTCTTACGTGATGGAGATATTAGGCAGGTACCCTGAACCCATGAACATTAAGCTTGAATAGGCTCAAATTGAGAAGCCTTAAGAAAGGTTCAAGCTTGGCATGGTTGAGCTCGACCATCAACACACTACCTCAGATCTAGGAATCAAGGGGGAGAGTTCAAGCTCGGCGTAGCTAGCTCAGACTCTAACACACCATCTCAAACTTGTGCATACATACAAAGCTTTGCCTAAGGAGAGAGGTCTCTGCCTTAAAGAATCAACTTTTTAGAAACACAAAATACTGTCATTAGTCTAGTACAAAAGTAATATGTTTTGGGACCCAAAAAATTTGATTAATAAGCCCATGGGTTGTGATCTGGAGTAGTTTGGGCTTAGCCCATTATAAAAACATGTATAAATGGGCCCTTCATCTTTATGGAGGAGATCCGATTCTAAGTAATGCATTACTATTATATTGAGCTTTCTCTCTTTAATTTTTTACTACTGTCGTAAGCTAGAACTTTTTTATATTTTTTCTTCTTGTTTTGACTAGATCTGCTTTTGAATGGAAAATGAAAAGATGTTTGACTTTCTATGTGGACCTCTTTAATAGTGTAGTAATAGTGTAGTACATTGAAGAAAAATGTAAATAAAAAAATGAATAATATGATTTAAAAAGAAAGTAGTCTTTGAATAATATGGAGTAAAAAAAAGTTATGCTAGGGGTACAACAAATTATATACTCCATTAATCATAAACATTGCTTATTTACTTACTACCTCCGTCCCACTATATTCGTCCACTTTTGACTTTTAGAACTGTTCATCTAAGCACTTTGACCCATCAAATTCTCTCAATGTGTAAGCTTAAATATAGTCATGTGTGATCTTGTTTGATTTTTGTCTCAACTTATAGATTATTAATATATAATTTTTATAATTTTTTAATATACAAATTACAAGATAAAGTGGATTAAAGAAGTGTATTGGATGACGTGTAAAAATGAAAGTGAACAAATATAGTGGGATGGAGGGAGTATTTTTTAATTTTTTCCCACACTTGGGATTGTCCGGTGGAGATAGAAATGTATTTTTGGAATAAGTGTCAAAAAAAGAACAAGAGAAGTACGTAGTATAAGGGACTCGGCCCATTGGGCTTCCGCAGTAACCTACATACTCCACCCTATTTATTCACTCATTCATCATGAAATTCTCGGCACTGTGAGCGCCTTCTTCTACCTACCAACGATCGCAACCCGACCAACGATCGGAACCCTACATACTCCGATCGAGCAATGGAAGAGACCGAGCAGAACAGACCGGTAATTTTCAAAGATATAAGGAGATATTCCTGCGAGTTCTGCGGCATTTTACGATCGAAGAAAGCGCTCATTTCTGCTCACATCTTATCTTGTCATCAGGTAAGCTAAGCAGTGTGAATCACTCATTTTACAGAATTGTCATGGATTTTCAAAATTTAAGTGTTCTGAGAAAAAATTGATTTAGGATGAGCTCAAGGTCCGAGGAGAATCAAAAGAGTCGGACGAAAACGTGCCTAAAGTTCACACATGTGCAGAGTGTGGAGTAAGCTTCCAGAAACATGCTTATTTGAAGCAGCATATGCAAAGTCATTCACTCGAGGTATCTGATTCAGAGTCTATTGGAGTCTTATTTTCCAATTTTGTGATTATAGATTATAGCTTGAGAAGTAGTTTTCATATGAATACTTTTGAATCGGACTTTTTGAAGCTGATCGTCTCTTGATCATAGGTTCTATGAACTATGGATATCTGGATTTAGACATAAATTTATGCACTTGAAGATATACAATAGACAATGGTTCAATTTCACTGACTTCCTATTACATGTGTCTCAGAATTTTTGGTCTTGCAGTTTGAGATTTAAAAGGTTTCATGGAATATCAAACAAATATGACTAGTGTGAAGCATTGGATCCCAGAGAATAAACTCCGAAATGCAAGAGGCAGTTATATCATCTTGAATGGAATAGTACCAGGTAGGGGGACCTCCTGTGAAGCTCCATCAAGTGGGCCTCAATCACGCTGTATTCTTGTGTGCTTAGAGATCCCCCACTCCATCTCTTTCATCTTCCTTAAGCAGAAAGCCATTGTAGATTGAGTTTTCAGTACTTATGTTTGGTTTTTGTGATTTTTGTTCCAAAAGAGGCCATTTGTATGCTCGGTAGATGATTGCAAGTGTAGCTATAGACGAAAGGATCACTTGAATAGACATCTTCTTCAGCACCAGGGAAAGCTGTTTGAGTGCACCGTTGAGGGTTGTGACCGGAAATTCAGTTATTGCAGTAATATGAAGCGTCATGTCGTAGAGATGCATGAGCCGGGTGTGCCAAGTGTTGTTGACCCTCCAAAGCAGCATGTTTGCACTGAAGCTGGTTGTAAAAAGGCTTTCAAGTATGCATCCCAATTGAAGAAACATGAAGGTTCTCATGGTAAGTCTGTTGCTAGAGAGCACAATTAACTTGTGTAAGCTTTGAAGAACCAGTTTTTTGAGCTAGTTTTTTGCTTATCAGCCTTATAATGCTGGATACCGGATTTTCACCCAACACTAACTTGTTTCAATGTGCTTGCTGATACGGTTTATGCAGTATAATCAAAGATGTTGTGGAGGAGTTGTTAATTTGACTTTAAATTAGGACCCCATATTTTCTTTGTTTTATTTGAATCTATACTGACTTTTAAAAGCTCCACTCTTTCTGTTTTTGTATGTCCCAAAAATATCTCCTTATTTACTTATCTTTAGAGAAAGTAATCCATCCTTCTCGTCCATCTAAAAAATTCTGACAACAATTTATTTGCTTTGCATCACTTTTCTTTAACTCAAGAAGTTTTTCAATGCGGAATGATCATTGCAGTGTGATTATTTATAGTTTTTGAAGATAGTTTAGTATATCCCCAGATGTAACTAATACAATTGTGTTTTGAATTGCAGTAAAGCTGGATACTGTTGAGGCATTTTGTTCAGAGCCAGGGTGCTTTAAATATTTCACGAATGAACAATGCCTTAAAGAACATACTCTGTCTTCCCACCAACATATTGTCTGTGAGATCTGTGGGATAAAGCATCTGAAGAAGAATATGAAGCGTCATCTTCGCATGCATGAAGCTCAGCCATCATCAAAGAGAATCCCGTGTGACTTTGAGGATTGTGACCATACCTTTGCAACAGTGAGTAGTTTTAGTTGCAAGAATTTTCATTTCAATGTCTTGCAAATGAGAGACTGCTTTTAGTTATTTCGATCCATGTGTTATAATGTACAATGCCATTATTCCGTGCAGAGATCAAATCTTAAGCAACACATCAAAGCCTTTCACCAGTCAATTAAGCCATTTGTCTGCAGTTTTTCTGGTTGTGGAATGAGATTTTCCTTCAAGCATGTGAGAGATAAGCATGAAAAGTCTGGATGTCATGTTTACACCCAAGTAAGCTTTGTTGCCCATTCTCAATTAAATTCAATTGTTGATTTCTTTTTCTGATTCAGCCTGTGTGGTAAGATGAATACTCGATATTAATTGTTGTTTTTCTTCTTTCGCATTCATAGGGAGACTTTGAAGAGACTGATGAGCAATTCAGGTCGAGGGAGAGAGGAGGCAGGAAAAGGAAGCTACCTGTTATGGAGTCTTTGATGACTAAAAGAATCGTCCCACCAAGAGATACGGATTCCATCATCGAAAACGGACCCGAGTACATATCTTGGTTGCTTTCTGCCGGGTCTCAAGACTGAGTCGACTCGGATGTAATTACACGTATGTAAGGGGAAAATATATAAGGGGTACTTGAGTTAATTTGTATTATGTGTTGTCTCTCAAATTTGAAACCTTGTAATCTTATAAAAATGATATGTGATGGAAAACGGAAGATCTTGTAGACACAAATATACGACTGATCACAAATGTGGGGTATGTTCAAAGGAATGTAGACATGCATTAATCGCGGTTTTCTTATCCATCTATGAACGGATGCTTGTGTACTCGTTAGTATTCCCCCCTCTGTTGCAAGATTGTTGTCTTAGTTTGACTTATGTTTAACTACAAATTCAATGTAGTTTTAAATATGGTTCTGTTCTTTGTGGTTGGGAAAACAAGATCAATGTCCAAAGAAATTTGAAAGTGTGAAGAAATTGGAAGAAATTGGACAAATTAGAAGTTGGAATAATTAGAAAGAGTTGGAAAAACTAGAACAAGTTGGAAAAAAAATAATTTTTGAAAGAGTTTAAAAAAAAATAAAAAATGTAAAAAGTATTATTTTATTTTATAGATTTCATACTTTATTTAATGCCTTGTGTTCTATTGCACTTGAATACCTGAAAGTACAACAAAATTTAATAGTTGTGAGTTAGGAGAATTCATAAGTTTAAACATGTACTTCATGTAGAAAGATAAACTGGTGTTTGATTATACCTCAAGTGTTTAGTGTTCATTGAAGTTTTCTCCTTCTTCGGTGTCTGTGAGTTCTTCAAGGAAATTTGGATTTTTTTCAGCACCATCATCTTTTTCCATATCCACCCTGTCATGTATCCGATCAAGAGGATCCAAATAATCTTTATAGCAAATGCATACTTCGACTATGATTGGACCAATTCAACTTCTTTGCTCAGTTAGAACTCTTCCACCAAGAGAAAACACACATTCTGAAGCAACAGAGCTTGCTTGGATTGTAAGTAGATCACGAGCTATAGCAGCCACAATTGGATAGTCACCGCTTTTCTTTTTCCAGAATTCCAACACATCAAATTGCATGTGGTTTTTTACCGGAAAGTATGTGTTTGAGTAATTCTCCATGTCATTAGTGCCCGATGTAGTTCTCTGTTTTTTCAAGGCTGATTCTAAAATAGCATCTTCAAGGTTTATTCCCGTTGTCACGTAGTCACGAGTAATACCATTCATTTCAGAATAATGTTTATACAATTCTTAAACATCATCTTTATATGTTTGCATGTCCACTTTTGTTCCAAAGTTTTCTGCAATGCTCTCCACGATACCTTCAGCCCCAAAACCTTTGTAAGTGGGATGGAAAATAGAAGCACAATAAAAACAGTAGGAATGTTTTCATAATACTTCAACCGTTTCTCTTGCATCTTAAGTATAAGAGGCTGCCAACAAGCATCATCCCTATATGTCTTCATCATAATAGATATCAATAAAAATTGACCAAGAGCTAAATGAATTGAAAGTAGGGTAGTAAGTTCCTGATAAGACCTTTGTAGCATCATAAAACACCTTAAGAATCTTGAGTAAAGTGTGTATGTCCTTCCATTCATCCACTGTGATGTCATTCGTTGACACAATAGAATAAAATCCTAAAAGTAAATCCTTTTGTTCAACAACTCTAGATAGCATGGTGTGTGTTGAGTTCCATCTGACAGGCATGTCTATTTCTAGAAGTAGAAATTTCTTCCCTTGTGCTGCCACATACTTTTTAAAATCATCCCTATTTCTTCTATCTATGTAAATGCATGACAACATTTTCTTGATCTTGGCAATTGTCTATTTCTTATATTTTAAACCATCGTGTGCAACTAGATTCATAACATGACATGCACACCTTGTATGATAGAACATACCCTTTAAAACAGAACTCATTTCAGGTTTTAAAAGAGGCATTGCTTTGGTGTTGTTTGATGCATTATCAAGTGTAACACTCAACACTCTGTCCAACTGAATCTCTTTGTTCCAAAATCTTGCAAGGACATCATGGGAATGTGGATATGGAAATGTTTCAAAAGAGAGTGTATGTTTGTTCATGATCCAAGCGCCATCAATCCAATGACATGTTAAACATATATAAGAACATCCAAACCTGTAATTATCTGTCCATACATCACTAGTTAGGCTAACCATGCCTTTGAAAGCTAAAAAGTACTCTTTTAAGTGAATTTTTGTTTTCTTCCACACACAGATTGAATCACGTGTTAATGTGAATCTTTATACCTGCAAAATAAATAAATAAATAGATAAATAAGTAAATTATTATTATTATTATTATTATTATTATTATTATTATTATTATTATTATTATTATTATTATTATTATTAGAAGCTCGCCGATTTGTAAAGGGGCTGTATGCTTGTATGAATGTAGCGGGTCATTAGTTTATTATCAAAAAAGTTGAATGACAATGACCTCTGGACTACCAACTTCATTTGATTTTCTCTTTGTTTTTCCTGGTAATATTCCCACACTTGACCGGATTGTGTTAGCATAGCTTGTCTTGCTTGTGGTGATATTTTCTTCATACAAATAATCTTATGCCTCTCTAATGATGCATTTGCCCCTCTCAAAAAATACTTGCACACTACACATTGAACTTGAACTACTCCATTTTTTCTAAAGTTGTTGAAGTTGCTCCAACAGGAAGCTGTGTGCTTCTCCTTTGACACCACTTCAATGACATCCTCATTAGCCATGGCAACTTCAAATGAAGATGGGGCATCACTTAAAGGAGTAACACATGTAGAGCCATTAATGCAAGATGAAGGTTCACCATTTTCACCAAGAAGAGGACTAGGAGTTGGATGAATATTTTCATTTGGAGGCTGCATTTTTTGTATTTTGCTGATTGGAATATAGAGAATTTGATATTGGGATACAGATTCCTGATGAATGATAATGTAAACTAAGTAATATATATAATAGATGCCTGAGACCATTATTGTTTGTATGTTTAAAGAGTATTTGCAAGTTCCAACCAAAAGATGTCTATTCAGTTTTCTATGTTGGTAATTGGTACTCCGTAATTGGTAATTTGGTATCACATCTCTCGGGACTAGCTTTACTACTCTTGGACATAGTGTTGTGATGAATGAGTTTATCTTGAAACTCTAAGAAAATACTTAGGGGATAGGGGAAGCCAAGAAGTATTAATCATTTCTAATTTGTACTACTCTATATTATTTTTTAAAGATTTTTATATGTACTGCTCCGTCTATACTACTCCCTATATTTTTCGTAATACACAAGTAATATAACTAGACTCTAAAAGACTAGTCTTTTGGACTAGTCCTAGTCTTTAGACCAACCTTTTACTAGTCTCGGACTGGTTTAGGTCCTTAACATGTCTTTTAATAGTCTTAGACTAGTCCTAGTCCTCTATAAATATTAAGGAACATTTGAGATTGCCGATCTTGGACTAGACTAGTCTCAAGGACTATTTCGGTCCTAATCTTTCAAGTCCAAATTCTAGTCGGCCCTGGTCAATCTTTTCGGTCCCAGTCTTTATGCTCTTCTCTACCGGAATCATTGGATATTTTTTTCACGACTCAAAGGTTAGTTCTTCATTATTATAAATATTACATATAAATCTTAAAAAAAACTTTGAATTTATTTCTATGTAAACGTTTTCCATTTGTTGTTAGGGTGATCGAATCCATGCTCAGATCAGAGATTCTAATATATGCACTTTCGAAGAAGTTTTGCAAGAAAATACTGTTTATTTAGTGATGAGAGTCAAGGTATTGCGCAATTTCCAAAGCACAAAAACTACCAATCACCCTTGCATGCTGCATTTTTTTGGCAAGACCAAGCTTCAAAAGCTCTCGGAAAATGGATTTCTCAATTTCCAGTACAACTTTAAGAGTTTTGAAGACATTCACAAAACAAGTATTGGTGACACTGTCCTTTTAGCTGGTAAAAGTCATTTACATTTTCATAAGTCAAATACTTGCACATTTTATATTACATTTATTAAATTTATAGAAAGTGTATATTTTTGTACTTTCAGATGTAATCGGAAAGTTGTTAGCCGAACCTCACCCGAAACCCGTATGGTAAATCATGCTCCAAAGCAAATGATGGAACTTACATTGGAGGACCACATGTATGTGACTTTTTTTCTCTGAGTACATTTTATATAAAAAAAGATATTAGTTAACCCTGATTTATATGTATAATCTTAATTCGATAAAGATTAAAATTAATTTTAACTTTTTATTTGTGTAGGGCGCTCGGTTAAATTGTACGCTATGGGAGATGATGTTTTGTACCGTCAACGTCGCCTGTTGGATCATGAACGTATTTTTTTCCTAATATTATAATATTTTAAGAAATCATTATGACTAAAAGTTTATAAATTTTAATTAGGTCTAATGCTGATTGATGATGAGATTTGAAATCATATTTTTTGTGATCTCGAAGACTTGCTGAGAAGTCATGGGAAGAGCCTTCACGATTACACTGATATGTCTAAAGCAAACCTCCACAGAATTTGGACTTCAGCTAATCGATTGATTTTTGATGAAATGCAATACGATCGAATAGCATTGCCAAGTGAGCACACCGGACTTTTGGGTTCAATGAACAATGAACAACATGCAGTATATGAAGCTATAACGCAGTCCGTTCACACAAATGCACGCAAACTCTTATTTCTGTACGGATATAGAGAAACCGACAAGAAGTATGTCTAGAGAACATTATCAGCTGCAATACGATCTCGAGGTGATATAGTACTAAATATTGCATCAAGTGGAATAGCATCTTTACTGTTGCCAGGTGGTAGAACAGCTCACTCACATTTTAAAATCCCATTGCTTCCAGATGAAAACTCTACTTGCAACATAAAGCAAAGTAGTCCACTAGCACAACTCTCAGTGAAGGCCAAACTAATTATTTGAGATGAAGCCCCTATACCACACAAGTATTACTTTGAAGCTTTGGATAGAAGGATGCGTGATATTCTACGTCTTTCTAATATAATGAGTGAACAACATACTTTCGGAGGAAAAATAATCGTCTTTGGTGGAGATTTTTGTCAAATTTTGTCAGTTATTCCAAAAGGAACAAGACAGGACATTGTTAACTCAACGATTAATTCATCATACATTTGGGGAGACTGCACACTGTTACGTTTGACAAAAAACATGCGACTGCAATCAATGATTCGTGATAGTAATTATGATTGCTTATTTGAATTCAGCAATTGGATTGCGAGTATTGGCGCAGGAACGTAGGTGATGAACAAGACGGCTATACTGAGGTAACAATTCCTAATGACATGTTACTTTCATCTTCTGAGGATCCAATAGCTACTATAGTGAATTCGATTTGTCCAAATTTTCAAAAAATAGCCAATGAACTAAGCTAATTGCAGGAGCGTGCAATTTTGGCTCCAACATTGGATGTCGTCAATTCCATAAATGAATATATGACAACGATGAATCCAAGCAGCGAATCTCAAACATATCTTAGCTCTGACAAAGTTGAGAACTCAGACTGCAGTTCGAGTTTTTTCCGGTGAATTACTCTTTCCCAAATTATCAAATAAGATTCATGCTTCTGATGTACCAAATCATGAGTTAACTTTGAAGGTAGGCACGCCTATTATGTTGTTGCGAAATATTGATCATTCAATGAGTTTATGTAATGGTACACAGTTGATAGTAACCTGGTTGGCTAATCCCCCAATACAAGGAAAGATATTATCAGGAAGCCACATGGGTGAAGAACTCGTTATTCCAAGACTATCATTAACATTATCCGATACAATAATTCCACTCAAGTTTCAAAGAATACAATCCCTTGTGGTTACTTCGTACGCCATGATGATTAACAAGAGCCAGGGAAAATCTCTGAAATGTTGGATTATTATGGAAGCTAGTGTTTAGTCATAGACAACGGTATGTTGTAGTTTCAAGGGTAACTAATCGTAGTGGGTTGTAGATTCTGATATGCAACGAAGACAATGTTCCCACAAATTGTACAACTAATGTAGTATATAAAGAAGTCTTTCGAAATTTGTAAAGCAACTATGTTTTGCACCTTAAAATAATATAATCTCTATATTCTATTACATCTCATTTTTTAGTATTGAAAAATAATCTTAATTTAATGTCGTAAAAATGACCTTTGCAAGCATGGGTGTGTTACTAATACTTTTAGCCATCAAATTTACATCAGGATGATAGAAGATTAAAAAATAACTATATGTGGAAATATATCTATAAAAAAAGAATCACCGGGATAATATTTAATAATAGAGAATTATGAAAGAATAATTATGAAATTTATTCTAAATAAATTGTATACCTAAAAAATCAAGTGAGACCAAGGTACTAATTTGGGAGATAATGTGGGCTGGTGCCGTGAACAAAACCCTGTGCACAGACTGAAAGCCACAAAAACGGTGGCGGGAACAAAACCCTGCGCACAGACTGAAAGTAACAAAAATGCCGTCGTTTCCTCCGGTAGGCTCAGTCAGCATTTGCGAAATCAATCGGGACCTCAGTATGTTTCAGCAAACTCATCCAGTTCTTTTTATAGCCATTGACACGATCTGACATTTCCATTTTCCTAAATGCTACAGTTACCGCCGATGAAATTTCCGACGATCGTGCCAAGGAAACATATGGAAAACTTCTTGTGAGTTCTCGATGTCTTGGGCCTTGGATTAAATTAGTTGTAGTTTCCTAGAGGAGCAAGGTTATGATGAATCGGTTTTTGATTTCATACTGCAGGGAGTAGTATTCAAACCGATTCCTTTTCAATTTGAGAATCTCTGTGTTGGTGAGCTGAGCAATGATCCATGCTCGGAAGAGCAGAGGAATGGTTTGCTTTGGGCAGCACTGAAAGCTGTGTCCACTGGTGTGCTTAAGCAGATTTTTCATGCAGTTGATGTAAATATTTGGTTTTTATTTATTCGTAGTTAACATTCATACTGCTTCCGTTGTCAGTGGAGCTAAAAGTGTCACTATTTACAATTTTTTAGCTTCGGGTAAATAATGGACTACATACAAATCACACATTGAACTTCATTTGCTTCTTAAATTCCTATGAGGTTTAGACAGTAAATGTAACAATGCATACAGAAACAGCCTCCTACACCCAAAACAATATAGATCATACTGGATTTTGTTCTTATTGTTGTTGATTTTTTGTTGGGGTCTCTCTCTACTTTTGAGTAGGGGTAAGGTCTGCGTACACAAGCCCTCCCAAGACCCTATATTTTGTGGGATTTTCTTGGGTTTGTTGTTGTTGTTGTTGTTGTTGTTGGGTCTTACTCGTATACCTGAAGATAGTAATATGGAAAAGGAAAATTCTGATTTTGAACAACAATGCTGTGTTTAGAATTATGACATCTGCTTATAGGGAAATCTGCTACTCCCTTTGTCCCATAATTCCTACTTTCTTATTTGGGTTATTCCAAAAAAAAATTCCCCATTTTATTTTTAAGGAAAAGATTGTGTGATCCATATTATTTCTCTTTCCTCTACACAAACCACAACCACAAGTTCTATTTTATTAAAAATCGTGTCAATCTCATACAAGAAGATAGTAATGGGGTAGAAACAATATTTATTTTACTCATTTCTACAAGGGTAACGTTGCATGCGTCTTGAGCTCCCATACCCCAATGCAATTTGAATGGTATTGCGGTTTATTGTTGTGGTTTAACTAACATGTTTGAAGATAATAAAAATGAAAATAGGAATACCGATTTTGAGTAATAGTAGTGTTTAGAAAATTCTCATGAAAACAACCATCCCTGCTCTCCAGATCTGCACTATAGGATTTTGCTGGGTTTGTTGTTGTTTGTGCTGTTGTTGTGCTGTGGTGTGTTTAGAATTGTGACATTTCATTGGATTGGTTGTTGTTTGTGTAGTGTGTTTATAATTGTGACCTTTTCTGATAGGAATTTTTTTTTTCATTTTTTCATTTTTCTGTATATTGTTTCAGGTAAAATTGTTACCAGGCATTGATTTTTGTGGAGTAAATTGGCACCAACATAAACATATTTTAGCATTTATTTCTGGAACTCACCAAGTGACTGTTTGTAATTATGAGGATTCAGGTTAGTAGTTTTTATCTTCTACAATATATCCCGTGTTATTTTAGGTTGTGCTTTCCATTTAGAAATGCTTCGTTCAAGTATTTCAATTTCATATGAGATCCCATGCTTCTCCCTCCCCTACTATTTGGCAGATGGAAAAAATCCTTGCATTTTGATCAATGAATCTCAAAAGGATGTTAAATGTCTTGAGTGGAGACCGAATGGTGGGAGGACACTTTCTGTTGCTTGCAAGTCAGTCTCCGACTCTCAGGGTTTTGCTACATCTTGATTTACTATTAAATCCATTTTTTGTTTGACTTTATGTTTTTTCACTTTAACTCTTTTCGTGAGGTTTTTAACATCTTGAATTTAATAGAGGCGGAATATGCATCTGGGCATCTTCATATCCTGGCAATGCAGCTTCGGTGAGATCTGGAGTTACCTTGGGCACTCTTTCTAGAGGTTCTGGTACTAGATGGACTCTTGTGGATTTCCTACGGAGTTACGAAGATGAACAAGTTAGTGCACTGTCATGGAGCCCAACTGGAAGATATCCAAGCCATATCATTTTAATCATTGTCATGTATTAGATGTTCCTTTTGATGACATAAAGTGCTCCTTTTCTTTTTATATTCCTGGTTGCTTTTAGATTACTTTTTGACAATTTCTTAGCTTCAGGTAAATAAAAAACCATCCCAGTATATGTCATAGCTTTAGGTAAATAATGGAAAAAATCAAAATTGCCCTGAGTGTTAAAACCACCCTAGTGTATATCCTTTTCCTCTCTTCCAAAAATCCTGTTTGTTTTTGTAAAGAATAATTAGGAGTTTATCCTTTTTTTTGAGGCAGGGGCCTATAGGAAACAACCTCTCCACCCTTCACGGGGAGAGGTAAGGTGCATGTACATTGTGCCCTCCCCACAGCCAACTTGTGGGAGTACACTGGGTATATTGATGATGATGATGATGCTTCAACATTAATTTTTCTTGTCTATAATTGTTAGGATTTTACAGCACTTCAGAAGTTTATGCGAGGGGATAAATAAAAAACCAATTATTATATTACCAATGAAACAATATATGGAGTGTATCATTTTATATATTATGTTCCATGTTAGCGAATGAAGTAGTGCTGATAGTACTCATGTGCTGCATAAAACAAAGTTATAGAAACCTTTATTGACCAAAAGACTTAGCCTTTTTATTGATTTAATCTAAACAACTTATAAAGCAAAGTTGTTCTCTACTAGTATATAAACACTTATTCTTTTCTTAAGACTAAACTCAAATCCAAGCAACTTTGTAGTGGATGGCTTTGCCTGGTATATTTTACTTAGTGCAGTGAATGAATGTAAATCTAGTCACAGTTCAATGTGGTGCTTGTAGACCTTCATATCATGCATGAATATATCATCATATTCATAGGTTCACTGAATCACTGGCATTGTTCAAGTAAATTGAGCTTTCAGCATACTTATAGTTTCTTTGCCTCCCCTAGTACCTCGATGTACCCCCTCTTATATGCTACTTTTCAGAGATCTCAGTCTTTAAATTTGTTTTATTAAAGTTCTATCATCACCGACCCCACCTAGTGGGATAAGGTTTTGTTGTTGTTGTTGTTTGTTGTATTAAAGTTCTATCATCATCCACTTTGCATGTTCCCATGTCATTGATTTTGTGAATCGTCAGGTCAAAGGCATAGAGTGTCATAGTAGCTACATATATTTTTATATTTCTTACTAGGAAATAGATAAAAGTGAAATGGAAACTGCAACATCATATATTGGTGCATTTCAATTTGCTTTGTGTGGAATGATAAAATCACATGTCTTGCCTTCCTTAACTAAACATAACATATTTGGCATCAGCTTCCTTTGAGAGTCCTTCGTTCACCATATGGGATGTTGCTCAAGGTATTTATGTATTTATTTTCTTTAGAGGAGTATGTTTTCCCCCCATAGTAACAGTCTGTGGTAAACCGAATATAGCTGTTTATTGAAGCATTAAATGAACCATAATTTATAGCGACCTTGAATTGAACAGGTCGTATTTTGCTTTAGGGCACCGATCATTTCTTTGGTGTCTTTGACTATAAGAACAAATATCTTGAACTGAACAATTTTATTATATGTGCCCAAGACTAGATAAAATCTTATTTTTGTGGCAGAGATGCATCTTCAGCTATTTGCTAATAACCAATCTAGACAGATGGTTAATTCCAATTATTTTTGTAGCGCGGTTCAAGTTGATTCTGACTGACAGTACTTGCTTTGTCACTGACTGGCGAATAATCATGGTTTGGTTTGACTGTGAAGGCTTCACATATTTTTGTGCAAAGTGGATGTGCTCTACTGCCCCCTTTTCAATTTATTCTAAATTTTACTTGACCGTCTTTTCAAGTTACATTTTTTAGACTTCTTTTCAGTTTCTTTGGTATTAAAAATCATGTTGTGTTTTACAGGAGTTGGCACACCCATACGGCGTGGCTTAGGGGGAATATCATTGCTCAAATGGTCCCCATCTGGAGATTATTTTTTTGCTGCAAAATTGTAATGTTTCAAAAGTTCTCCTTATCTTGTCCAACCTCTTTATGGTTAAATAAGAATATGAAAGATTTTAAATTTCAAAAGAAGGTGCTAACCCCCCTCTCCCACTGTACAAATTTAATTTCTCAGTGATGGGACATTTTATCTCTGGGAGACAAACACATGGACTTCAGAACCATGGTCCTCAACAAATGGTTTTGTCACGGTTAGTCCCAGGAATACTCTTTCTTCGTGATGAATAAGAATATATGTTTGCTTCCACATGCTGCTATTTTCTACTCTTCATCATATATTAATTGTGAATGCATTGTACTAAAAAATAATTTTGAATGCACGAGATGGCTCTTTGACTTTTACTATTTTTGAAGATCTTGAAAGCGAACTTAAGAAATCTGTAAGCATTGTTTGCATTTTTTTAGCTTTTAGCATCTTTGGAGTGTAATTAAGGATATGTGCATTGTGCAATGAATGCAAACTTTATGTTCTAGAATCATTTCTCCCTCAGTAAACCATCTTTTTATGCAAACTTTATGTTCTAGAATCATTTCTCCCTCGGTAAACCATCTGTTAATTTCTCTCCAAATCGTACACCATCATCGGAGAACTGTTACCGTATGAGTCAAGGTGGGCAATTATGCTTCTATGAATCAGCTAATATGAGTTATTTTTTTTGTTTGTTCTTAAGTAATACATGTCCAATAAATATGCATTTTGAAATTTGAACCTATGTAGATATTACCCGTGCTATGTTTTTCCTAGATAATTGATAATAAAATTCAGGGCAGGTATGCCCGGTATTCATGGAAAAGATATTGCAAGTAATACAGAAGTCTCAAACCATTCAAAAGTTGTGTTGACAGATAGGTTGGTATACCAAGTTATAACTTTTGTGATTTATTTGCAGGGAGCAGCATGGGATCCTGATGGTAGTAAGATACTTATAGCATTTTCGGGTTCCTCAACATTAGGTTCCATTCACTTTGCCACTAAACCTCCATCACTGGGTATGTTAGGCATCTTCTGTTTCCTTTATCAGTCAGTTGCAACTTCCCAAAAATGAGCAATAATGGAAAGAAGTTGGATAGCTTCTACTTGTGTATCTCAGGCATCTAGTATATGCAGCTTCCATGCATGTGAAGTTGAAAAAGTGACAGTTTGTTGTGTGTGTGACGAAATTTAAGTATATAATTCTATGAGTGGTCAAAGAAGTATTTACTGTGTTAAATTATTTATACAGAAGAGATCCTTCTCTCTCTCTCACACACACACACACATGGAGTGCTGGGCTTTGTAGCATAACCTTAAGTGCCTGTTAAATTTTGGAAATTAATTGATGTTACTAGTTCATGCACAAAGCAATGGTGAAGTTTCAATCGGGAGGTCCTTTATGTCCTTGCCTTCTTAGAAGGAACATGCATAGAAAATAATATGAATAAATGATCATTGAGATAGTTGATATAGTTCTTTCCGTCTCTGTGTGTGTGTGTATTAGTCTTTAAACTTCTCTCATGCTTTTTCTTGCACTATTTGGGCATTTAGTGTTTAAACAGTTGCCTTTCTTGCTCCATTGCCAATGGAGCTAAAAGAGTCATAATATACATTGTTTTAGCTTCAGGTAGATAATGAACTTAATCAAATTGACACATTAGACTTCCTTATTTAGTTTCTATGATGTATGAAGTTTGGGTAATAAATTCAACAATGGATCAAGGTAATTCAAGGATCCAACAGAATAGCCTCTCTGTTTTTACCACCCAGACTCCAACAAAGTAGGGATTATACTATGGTTGTTGCTGGGTTGTTGCACTTGTCTTTTTCCCAGGACCTCTAATAAACCTGTTGAGTGTGTACACAGAACACATCCAAAAATGGATATCATCAGAATAGATTTGTGCAAGTGGATTGATTCTTTTCTAAGTATGCACTTTTGAGAATGAAGTTAGCCATTCTAGGCTTTCTTGTCCAAAGTGTGGTTGCACAAAAAACTGACACTCACTTGTCTAATGGTGCAATTGTCTTTTTCAGATGCACATCTCATACCTGTTGAGTTGCCAGAGATACAATCTCTGACTGAAAGGTACATTTATTTATCAGTGGGTGTATTGGTTTAGATGCCTATCTCTATGCTATTTCAGCAAGCTGGATAGTCGCTATGTTTTTACTGTTTACTTTTCTCCTTGATTGGTGCACTATACTTTTATGGATTTCAAAATAGTTTAAAAATTTTACAGAAAAATCAAGAGCATTGTGTTGTTATACTAGGTATAAGTTGGAATGTGATTGACAGATTTTACTCTTCAGTTTCAAGAAAAGTAAAATGGATTGGATAGACATTTTATCTTGCGTTTTTGCATTGAGCTCCCTCCCTCCCCGCAGACACACACAAAAAGGGAAAACAACTCCACCTGATGGTTTACCATATACGTTTTTTCTATACAGTCAAGGGGTTGAGAGGATAGCATGGGATGCCTCAGGAGAGCGTCTAGCTGTAACATACAAAGACGGGGAAGAACAAGTGAAAGGTCTTATAGCCATTTATGATGTCAAGAGAACTCCTCTGATATCAGCTTCATTGATGTGGGTTGACACTTTCCTGGTTTCACATACCTGCTTTTTTACATACTTACATTGCTAATGGCTGATTGTATCACTTATATATTTCATTATTGGCTAAGATTATTTCTATAATCTCTATCAGTCATTCTTTTGCATCAAATTTGGTCGGTATTTGTTGAAGTTACTGTATATCTATATCTCCTACTTATTCTACAATGGCAATTCTTGTAGAGGTTTTATTAGAGGCCCTGGAGAAAACCCCAAGCCATCCTCTTTTTCATTTCACAACAAGTTTAAGCAGGGGCCACTGCTTTCAGTGGTAAGCTAACCCATCTCTTTAAGTTCTCTGTAATCTACCAATGTGATTGATCTTTCAGCTGTGAATATAATTCCAATATTTTTGAAATGCTTCCTTCGAGTTCCAAGTCAAAGTGCATCATGGCCAGTTTTGGAACTTAAATCTGGATTTCAAGTTCTGATTTGACCCAAATTAAATGTTTGGGAATCCAAAAAATTTGGATTGGGATTTGGGCTAAATTTTTCTAGTTCCCAACAAAGCTCAATTACAAATCCATGCACTCCCCCTTGTAATTTGAAATCCAAGAATTCAAATTTTAGAATTGAAATCAAAGAATTCAAACCAATTCCTAGTTTCCAAACACTACATTATGGAAATGTATCAGCAGACACCCTTGTACTTGTTGAGTGAGTTCTCTTATAGCAAATATTTGAAATTGTTCATTAGTTCGTTTGATTTTAATTTGAACAGTGTTGGAGCACCGGGATTTGTGCCACATATCCACTCATTTTTCGTTCACATGTACTTCCATAGTCAAAAGGTACTCAATCCTTCCCCCACTTCAGGTTCTTATGCATGTGCATTGTATTGCGGAACGGGTTAACCCCTAAATATGTCCTGAAGATTATTAGTCATTCATTTGTGGGGACATCTTTGCTAAGATGACCATAATTACTTAAACATGATTTGGAAATTATCAAGTAGTCTCTGGCAAATTATAAAATTTACCCTGACAAATTTTAAGATACTATGGGAGTACGGTGAGGAAGGTATTGCCATTGACAATTAAATGTTCAATACTCTCATCTTGCTGGAGTATTCTGGGTTTTAACTTTATGTGTCAAACCTGTTAATTTCTTACTGATGTTTTTAGTTGACACGCTTTGCTGAAAGTTGCGGAGTATTTCCTTTTTTTTTGTATTTAAATTCAACAGAGGAGTTTTAACGAAAAACATTTTTATATTGCTTTAATACTCCATGTTATGAATCATTTTTCCTTAAAATATAATAGTAGTCAATTTAACAGGTTTGATTAGAAAAGTCAAGCCTAAAAAACTCCAGCCAGACGGAAAAATTTTAAACAAATCATTTTAGTTAACATCTAAAGATTTGGTTTGATGGTAGCGCATAGGGATGACAATTGACGTGTCGGTGTCGTTTGTAGGTTCCCTACCCCCATATTCACTTAGAAATTATCAAACCGCCATGGGTAAGATTTTCTAAACCACACTCGCCTTAGGGTGCAAATCTGAAACGCCACACGCCCCACCTACTCGCTACAATCCACTTAGTCAATTTTTATTTGCTTTACTCCTTAAAATCACTCAGCTGATTATTGACTATTGTACTTTTATGTGCAAATCAAATCCCGCTAAACATGATATTCCCTCCGTCCCTAAAAGAATTGCACTCTGCACTTCCCGTCTAGAAGAGTCAAAATCACGGCAACTTTTATTTATTAGTGTGTTTTCTTTGATAATTTGATAAAATAAAATATTCTTATCGCTTCTTGTTTTGTAGAACTTTTGATGTAGTTTTTAAATATGTAAGTTTTGTTTTTTTATAACCATAAATTAAAAATATGAAAAATCATTGTCATAACAAAATTGAGTTTAAAGGCAACACATAAACAAAAACAAGTATGAAGTACAGAGTATAAGAAACTAATATCCTTTAATTTATAAGATCCCAAAAAATGTTAAGTTTAATTAAAAACAAAACTATATGTTAATTAAAAACAAATATGAAAGTGACAAAAAATATAACTGAAACGAAACACAAAACTTTGTATTGCATTAACTTAATTATAAAATACTATATCAATTTTTGTTCTCACCTTAAAAAAACTTTTCTTCTCAATCCCAACAAAAATCTAAAGAAATAAAATTTAAACCAAATAAATCAAGAAGGAATTTAGATCTTACCGCGAAAGGAGAACACGACAACACGTAACTCTGATGAAAAAAGGAGGAGCACAACCTAATTAATAGGGAGTATTCCGAAAGAATAGTCATACAGATGGAACACACGGTAGGGCTTTCTTTTTAAAATTAAATGAAATTTAGCTTGGGTCTTGGGTCGGGCCCCACAAGAAAGGATGTGACTTACAGACTAATTAGTCATCTTATAGTCGTCGATTTGTTGACAACGGGAGGCTTAATTCAGTCGATTAAAATGGCGAAAAATGGCAATGGCGCTAAAATGGTGTTGCCATGGGATGACAGATTGCCACAACCAATATTGTGCCAATGAGGGGCCAAATCGCCAATGGCGCATGCCATTTGCGCCATCGATAGCCATGGCTAGGGTCCCTTGGAAATAGCCTCTCTACTTTCAAGCAGGGGAAAGGTCTGCGTGCACACCCTCTTGTGGGATTCGATTCAACTGGGTTGTCATTGTTGTTGTATATGAATCAGATGATTAGTTTAGTTAATACAGTTTAATATAAATAGTCACCGGGGATGAGACGGTATGACCGTATAACGTTGGTAAATGCCGAGCAGGTACTCAACGGATTTAGAGTTTTCCACTCATTCAAACCAATTTATAAATTGATTACACCTTATACTAAGCATATATACTAATAACACATTTTACTCTGTAAATACTTCTTTGTGATTTAAATTAGTCATTCTACTGAGCATATACAACAATTGTTTAAATGATCCAAGGATTCTCGTGTGTTTAAACAATGCTTGCCCATTTTAGGGCCCGTTTGAAGAACTTCAATGTCTAACTTTAGCGTTTTGAAAAAACTATGAAAAAACAACATTTAGCTTTGGAATTTTCGAAGTAAATCTGCACCGTTAAAAAAATTATGAAACACGTTGTTCCCAAACAAGACCTACATGATCTAACGACTTTGGTTTATATATTCTCAAATGGGTGTAAATGAAGTCAAATATGAGGAGGAAGGTACTCCCATTTCTGTCATACTATATAAAATGGCAATTGAATAATATGTGAGTTCATTTTGCCATAATTTCATTACCATCTTGCTTAAATTTTCTTTGCAGGTAATGGAGTTTTACTTGAACTGGATCATCTGAATGTGCCATTTGAAGTTTCCCATATGGAGGCGTCGAAGCAAAATGGACACCCGGAAGATATCTTACACCGTTTTGTGTTTATGCAACTGGAGTTCGATAATGAGGAGACGACTCTTCAGTGCTATGCCAGCAATTGCATTGGGCTAATGTCATAAGAGACTTTGGTTTTTCACAGGACAAGATTGATTATCCTTATTTTTCTTATATTTTGTGCAAGTACTAAAATGAAGTCAGCAATGGAGGAAGACTACTTTTGATTACTTTATACTCATCAAAGGTCATTAGATCAAGGTAGGATTGAACATGTTACCCGTTAGGGGTGGACCCGATTTTGATTCTTAAGTCGTTCTTTAGATGCTAGAATTTAATTAGAGTTATACAATCAAGATCTAGAGCCACATACAATAGCGTAAAATGAGCTTCGAACCGTAACGTAATTGGTTTTAGGAATTGAAATTGGAATTGAGTAAAGTTACTGGTTACCCAGAATTGAACCAAGTTGTTCCAAAGTTAGACTCGTCACACCCACAAACCAACTTTTGTTAACTCTATTTTAAAAGAACCCATGTGTCTACAGCTTAATTTACTTGCATAATTAGAGGCCGAATATGGATACAAACTCATGTGAGACTTATTAAACTCACGTTATTTTACTTCCTCCTTAGTTTAAGTTGTTATTTATTATTTGCATAGTCAAATTTTAATTTTTACCCATTTTCCCTATCTATTTGAAAAAATGTCACTCTAGTTTTGTCTGGTTTTGTAAAACTTTTAAGAATTTTTTTAAAATTTAATTTTTAATTACATATCAATTTTTAATTATATACGTACTAAATTCCAAAAAAATTTAGTCAACTCTCGTAAACAGCAGCAGAAGATTTAAATTGGGATGAAGTATTTGTTAATGTATACTTTTTTAATAAAAAAACGTCATTTGAGTTTTTCATTAATTCAAAGTCAACGTTACATCATCAACAATGTTTAACATAGAACTTGAGCTTGTAGCCATCATATTCATGGAAGATATAAGAGCATCTTTAATGGAAAGATCATGGGGAGTTGCTTAACATTAAAAAAGTTAATGTGAAATCTAAGTGAAGCTTATGTGGAACCTAAGTAGAGCATGAGTTGCTTAATTTATTGCTTAGGAAAGCAATTGTTCCTCAGTTGAGAACTACTCATAAGCAACTCTCACTAAAATTGCTTTAACATCAACTATTCTCAAGTTGTAACTTGTACTCAGTAAGGTGTAAGAATATCTCACATTGGAAATTTTAAGAAATAATTATGAGTAAATAAAGTTTTTAATGGAATTGGATAATTCCTTGAATTCAATCTTTTAGTTGGTTTGACAAAAATGTCTTTTCGAAAAGTTGAGTGACCTATATTAAATCCTAAACTCTATCTTAGCACCAACTCAAGTGAGGGGACTACAATTTTTGATTGAATCTTTAATTCTATCTGTGGTTTAACAAAGATAACATGTCAACATCACATCTTACAAAACAATTCCATACAAAATAATAAAAGACGACAAAGAAACATACTATATCCGTCCCAATTTAAGTTGCATGTTTATTATTTACATGATCAAATTTCATTCACTTTTTTAAATCTATTTTCTTACTTATTTGATAAAATAATATGGTCATGTCACCTATTATTTCGTAGAAAATTTAATGGATTAGTTTGGTTTGTTTTTTGTTTGAACAAAGAGGTGGGAGGGGCGGAGCGAGTATTTGAAAGTTTCATTGTACTGCATACTTTTTGTACAGAACAATCCATCCTTTTTTTGTCAAGTTGTGCATAATAGCCTCACGTTTTAAAGTGATTTTCAACAAAAAAGTACCGTGGGATGTCCCAAGTTTTATGGCCATAACTCATCGGGTCCCCCTGTTTTTAAAAGGCCGCCAGAAGCATTTAACCATGAGAGATGTCTAATTTGAGATGGATGAATTATATATTACTCTAACTTTTTTTAATTACTTTTATTTTTTATTTCAAACTTCAACAATTTTGAATTTTTGTAAAAGTTATAAAAAGAACTCTCTAAAAGAAACTTTAAAAGTTTATGAAAAAAGAAAACAAAGAGAAAAAAAAAGTGAAAAAAGGGAAAGAGGGAACTCGGTCTATTACCATATGAGTATAAAACTATTAAAGGCAAAATAGGAAATACTCTGGAGTATATATTTAAAAAGTATTTTGTCGGAGGTTTGGGCGGAATGTCTCAAATTAATTCTTATTTTTAATATTAATATCAACCACTATTCTGTTTAATATTGATATCAAGAATAGCTATGTTAGCCTTGAAGCAAAAATTTTGATGTTTTAATATGTCAAATAAGTCTTTTCATTGCGTCAAACTCACCATTAGAGGTCAATAATATCCTCATAACTTATGGACTTTATTTGACAATATGGAACGAATTCAATACCATTTTTAGAAGAATGGTTATGAATGATGAGCTTATGTTGGTATGTTATTGCCCTCACTCTACTTATGCACAAAATATCTATTTATATCTTTTTTTTGTGCAGTAAAACTCATTTTAAGGTTGAGTTTTACTTATTCTTATAAGAATTACTTCAGATCAGATCTAAATCAGAAACAAATTTAAAAATAACTACATTCTAATCAGAACAAACCAGACCATAACTTATTTCAATCAGATTAGACATTTTAGGCGTGCCAATCAATAGAAACTAACAACGTACCGTTGACTGGCACATGAAGTATCAATGCTGGTAGCACACAACCGGAGTCAGTTACTTTTTATTTTAAATTTTGAATACTGCCAGTTACGCTAACCGGCAGACTGGCACATGAAGTATCAAGTCTCCTTTGCTCACTTAACGCCAATACAACACGTTGCAGACTTGCAGGTAGGAGAAGACAATAAAGCAAAACTCGTTTCAGTTCATTATTCATGCCTAGTAATACAGATGCAACAAGCTTTACATTGGCTAATCCTATCACCATGTTTGATCAAACAAAACAGGTTGAGAGATCACAAAAGGTTTTATGCATGAAGACTGAAGAGAAACTTGTTTGGGTCTGAAGTAGACTAGAATTACAAGAGAAATTGCAATGGTCTTACAAAGACTAGTTCAGTTTTCAAAAATAGTGCATGACCAATAGCTCGAAAAAGTTCATGCTAATTACGTAGTATTATTAATTTAAACCAGCCACACAAGTTCACTTGCAAGACCCCAAAATGTAGAGTTCCATAGAATCTACAAGCTGGCTACAACCACGGGCAGCTTTTGGGTCAGTACGGTGAGCAGTGTTGATTAAGTAAGCACGAAGGCTAAAAGAGGCAAAATAATTAGAGGGGGGATAGATGATACTAAGTTACTAACTAACCCTTGTGCCGAGAATGATACCATTAGAAGCCCCCATAGAATCCTAGTAAAAAACTCCTCTGCAGTTTGGTGATCCGCACAAACACTTCTTCCCCCTGTGATCTGCTCCGCCTGACAGGACCAACCCATAATCAAAAGTCAACTCCTGCATTGGAGGAATGTGGTGAATGGCGAAGAAGGCAATATGGTAATACGCCTCGTTGTTAATCTCACGTACAATGGGCTGCCACATGACATTTGGTGAACAACTATGGTTCATAAAACGAGCCACATTCCCGTAACTTCTTGAGCTTATAACAAGAGCAAATGGGATTTTGGGAGACTCATCCTCACCAACTCGCACAGCTTCGAGTGGCGGATAGTTGCGAGTGGCATCAAACATATAGCTGTCACCGCTTTCGCTCGCATACTCGCCTGCCCTAGAAGCATCAATGACTTCTCCTGCATACTCGCATACAAAACCACCCGAGCGTATAGGATCCCAAGACCGAAGTCCCCAACCTCGATTCTTGGTTTTGAAAACTTCCAAACGGGACTTAAGACCTGCTTGGGACATTCGGTTTCGGCAATTGGGAGGGCATGAACAGGACGGACCACACTCGTGTATAAGAGCTTTGTAGGTCAAGAGAACCGCGAGTGGACTATAGTGCAGAAAGCCTCCATTTCTCTGGAGACAAGGGCAGTTGGAGTCACCTGGTTGACACCCACGCGTGCAGCTGCAGCTCAAAGAATTGTTTGGCATTAAAAAGGGTTTTGGGTCTTTGAGAGTTCGGATATATGTAAAATGAGGGGGTCCCTTGTCATCATCAACATTGTTGACAAGACAAACGGGCTGACTCTCCACACCAGCTGTTAGGTCTGGCATGATAATCCCATCGGGTACAGTAACACCATCCTTCCATTGCTGAATTGATTTCCACAAGGTATATGCCTCCGGCTGCCCGGGCACTCTGACCAATTTGTACTTGAAAACATTGCATCCAGACTTGTTTGTCTCTACCCATGATTCCTGAATTGTGTACAAACCGTCATACACATAAATCTTCCCATTTATAGTCATATAATCTTTTAAACCCCGAATAACTCTGACTTCATTGGCACGGTGCAGGCTCTTTTCCAGAGCAAGATTCCCCTTTTCAAGTTTTTGATCAATCATTTGTCCGTCACGTCTCTGGACCCCACCTTGGCCGGTGTAAATCAGAACATCTGGCTCTTCACCCTCATCGTCATATCCTCCTGAAGAGACAATGCAGAGAGCAAGTGGTTCCTCATACAGAGATGATTTGACACCCATGTAATCTATACCCCCCATACTTGGAGCATGCATCCCCACCAAACACAGCTCCATTCTGAAAAAGAAGATGTCTCCTACTTCAACCCCGGGTACATTCCCAATCCTCTTTGTTGTATTCGTGCGGATCCCCTTTGACATCATCATGTTTGCAGACTTCAAGTCAGGGCGCCTGGAAGCTCCTTCACTTTGTTCCCTCTTCTCGTCAAATTGGGTCATCATTCGTCTTAACAAGTTATAAGTCAACAATAAGCGACTGACAGTTTCCTTGTCACCGTCAGCTTTCTTATACATATCCAAGCCAGCAAGTTTAAATGATTCAAGAAGATTATTCAACATTGGTTCATAAAATGCTTCTACAGATGCGCCATCCATCTCAGGCCTTCTCCTTGCCCTTTTTTGAGATTTACCCTTTTGTCCTCCTGCGCTGGTATCTTCATCATCATTACCATGAATGCCAAAGTCACTCTGGTTCTGGGAATTACTATAAGCATCATCTTCTTCTCTTACCACTCTTCTAGTGGTCCTCTTTGATCTCACGGCACTTCCATTTTCCGTTGGAGTTCTAAAAGAGTTTATAGGAGTAGGGAACATGGGGTTATCAAATGACCCTTGTTCGGCTGGTCTTCCTCCTGGGATGTGTGCCAAAAATGGATAAAAGGGAGACACCGCGGGAGGAAAAGGGCCACTTGGAGGAACACATACAAAGGGTGAAGGTTGTGGAGATCCAAAAGGTGACATCCCATTAGCAGATGGAAATACAGGTGCTAAACATTTTAAAGGCTTTACATCCAACACCCTTGACATATCAATGGACCCGGATGAGTTTGATGCTGTACCTTGCTCCATTACAGCAAAACTCTCCAGAAAACCACACACGATCACAGATTTCAATCACTCAAGTCCCTGAAAAATATCATTTCACCAGCTTTATACTTGTGCATTTAAATATCACTGCAGAAAAGAACCACCCACAAAGAGAAATGCCATTTAAGCAACAAAAAATGCCACTCATCAAAAGATGCAGCAACAAATCAGATGAGAGTCATTACAAAAGTCTTCCAAATCTGGAAGTTTTAAGCTAATTAATCAATGATGATATGGCCCAAATACCCAAATAAAGATTCAAAATTTATTTTCACCTCTAGCAAAAAGAATATATTTTGATCAACGAGAACTGAATATACATAAACTTATTAATAAGCGGCCAAAACACAATCAAGTATTAAAGCCCCTCCTGTGGATTTAACGGGGGTTTCCCCTCTTGGAGGGTTGGGGACCGTTGGTTTCACGTTGGTCAGGCTGCGTTAAAAGCTACCTCATGCAAAATGACTAAACACGAGAAAGCATGTCTTGACAACCTACACATGTTTATACTTGATACCCTTGGTTTTCTTGCAGCGGAGTTGCTTTGTCAAGTCCAACACTCCAACGGGTCATGCATAGTTATGTTATGACCCCTCCTAGATCTATGAATATAGGTTTCAAAAGATTTGATTTTGCTATTCAAAAAAGTAGCGGCGCAGCTTGTTGACAGTTTGCCTTCTATTTCGATTCCATTTCGATGTATTAGATTTCCCAGTTTATATATAAAAAAAAGCCCTAATAATATCGCATTTGTCCCACGCATGCTCAGTGTAAGCGAAACCGTACATTCGAGAAAAGAACAAAGATATCTTCTTCATTGTTCTCAGTCACTCTATTCCTCAATTAAAAAAGAACAAAAATCGTAGATCAGAAATGAAGGCGCGCAAAGAAAAAAAAATGATCTAGAACAGGGAATTCACCTCACAGCGGTAGATAGCTGAGATTTATAGAGCGGAGGAAGGAGATTCACATCATAATCAGATTCGATTCGTGGAGTTCGCACATGCCTTCAATTGCTGGAGTTGAATTGACCGGCGGAAGGTCAACTGATGTGTTTCGTCAATGCCGGAGTCCTTTCATTGTGCTTTGCCAGTACAGGGATTGGCGTCGTCTATGGTGTCAGTCAGTTCCCCGCGTTTCAACTCCCTTCCCAGTAAGAAATGTACGAGACAGAGAGAATTTACGAGAGAGAGAGAGAGAGAGAGGAGCCGGAGAAGAAAGATTTTTTAGGTCGGGTTTTATTCAAATTATTTTTGGAAAAATTATTTCAAATAATATCACATTTGGGCTCTTTCAAAAATAATACTACTCCCTCCGTCCAAAAAAAAACTTCCCACTTTCCTTTTTCATCCGTTCACAAAAAAAACTTTTCATTTCTATTTTAGGAAAGTTTTTGAGAATGAAAAGTCATTTCTACCCTTATCCTCTCCTTCCTCTCCCTTTCTTCCAACCGTTTTCTTTTTTTCTTCCTTTTCTCCTTTTTCATTCTTTTTCTTATTCCTTCTTCTTCTTTTTTATTTCTTCCATTCTTCTGTCATTTCTTTTCTTCTTCTTTCTTTCTTCCTTCTTCCGTCCTTTCTTCTTCTTCTTTCTTTCTTCCTTCTTCCGTCATTTCTTCTTCTTCTTCTTCTTTCTTTTTCATTTTTTTCTGTTTTTTCTTCCTTCTTTTTCCAGATCTGGTTGCATCTTCGCCAGATCTAGATTTGCAGTCACAAATTTTTTTAATTTTTTCAAGATCTGAGATGGGATGTTGATTTTCAAGATCTGAGGTGGAAATAGATCTATGGCTGCGACGGCGAGAGGATGTCAGGGGCTACGATGGCGGGGCCTTCGACGGCGTCACGGCGAGAGGATGCCAGGGGCTGCGACGGCGGGGCCTTTGACGGCGTCACGGCGAGAGGATGCCGGGGGCTGCGACGGCGGGCGCTGCGATGGCGGGGCTTTCGACGGTGGGGGTTGCTGAAGCATCATCGGTGGTGGTACTGAAGCGGCGGCGGCAGCGGTGCAGAAGGCCCAGTGTCGGCCGTGGTAGATGGTGTGTTCCCAGTGGGGGTGTACAGGGTAGAAAGGATAAGGGCTATAATGGGAAAGTCAACACAATTTTCATCACACATAAAATTGCGTGCCCGGTCAAACCAGGAAGTTCTTTTTTGGACGGAGGGAGTATATCACTTTTCACTGTCAAAGAGATAATCACACTTTTTCGCATGTGTGCGCGTTTTGGGTCACTGTTAATAAACTAACGGTCACTTAATGAATTTTTTGAAAAATATCTGTTTTTTGCAAATAAATGAAAGGTGATATTATTTGATGTAAAATCTCTTTTTTTCATTTTTTTTAATTTCAAACTTTAAATTTAAAAGTATTTTTAAAAAAAAAATTGGAAAAATAATACCAAATTTAAGTATTTTTTAGAGTGAAACTAATTGTTTTTTATAACCGATAATCTAGTAATAATTAAAAAATAAATTATTCTACACAATAAAGCTAATTTACTTACTTCATTACTCGCTATATTCTTTTGTAAGTTGCAATCATTTTTCTTGAGTGGCAATTCAAATTGTTTTTTGATACTATAATATTATTATTTCTTAAAAAATGGCACTACAAAACTTGTGAATATTTTTTGATAATTTTATATAAATATTTTTTGCAAAAAAATATTACAATAATTGTTAAAACGCACTACATATTGTGTTGTATTACAAAATTTTTCATTGACAATACTCCGAAATATTTATTGATAATCTTCTATTGCCTATATTATTTTTTTCTAAAATGGAACTACCTAATTCGTGATTTTTTTTTATAATTCACTACAAATTTTTTCCCAAAATAGTAATTTAAAAGTTGTGAAAATGGAAAAATATTTTTTCCCACTGAAATGGAACTAATAAATTTTATAACTCACAACAATTTTTTGTATTGCAATTTCTTTCTTGATTGAAACTCTGAATTATTTTTGAAAATTCAATATTATATTTTCCCTGAACAGAAAACAAAATTTATAAATCGTTAGACAAATCTCTAACAAGAGTGTACGGTTTTATTTTTAAAAATATAAATTTAAAATTTAAAATTAAAAAAAGTAAAAAGTAAATTTGCCTAAAATAATCTCATCTTTCATTTATGTGCGAAAAATAGACATTTTTAAAAATTTTTGTTAAGTGGCCGTTAATTTTTAAAGGCGATCCAAAACTTGCACACATGCGGAAAGGTGGTATTATTTCCGGTGACAATAAAAAGTGATATTGTTTTTGAAAGAGCACAAAAAGGTAGGATTATTTGAGATAATTTTTCCATTATTTTTTGAATCTACTTTCTCCCAAAATATTTTTCTAATTTAGACTTTTTATAGTCAATCAAGATTGAGTTTCTATCTTCAATTAAATAAAAATTACATAATATAATCACCTGATAAAATAATATTTTAAAATTTTTTTATAAGATATATCTAATAACATATTTTTTTGTATTAATATCAATATTTATTTTATTTAATTAATAGTTTAAATACAAAAAATAAAAATTGGGAAAACACGTTGTGATATATGTAGTATTTCACTATTTTTTATTCTTATTAAAATTAGCTTAGATTAGATTCAATTTATTTAGATCAAATTAAATAATCTACTCTTCTTTTAAGAGTAAAAAATAGGATCAAATTCATACTTTTGAGACCCAAGCTGGATAAGGTGACATTTTCTCATTGGTCCATATGTTGAGAATTTCAACCAGCGAGATGTGTGTGTCATGTGTGTTGACTTTGAAGTGATAATTGAAACCCAAACAACGCCATCCTCTGGTCGAGGGTTCCACATATGACAAGGTTTTTTTTCTTTTTTAAGTTCCATCCGACCTGAATGGTGGTCAGGTTTCTCGAGGCTGAGTGCGACTCGAGCTCTATCTCGGTACGCTTTCAGGATCTTGAGACACAACGAGTGTTTCTATTTTAATGACATTTCTTCTTGGGCCATGGTTAGGCCATTCGAAGTGTGGGTCGTATCCAAAGTTGTGCCTTTATCCCAACAATATCAATATAAAGACTTGTAGTCTATATTATCTTTCGGATTGGTTCCATTGCAACTCGTAAACGGCACCACTGGCCACTACAGCCAGTGGCGGATCCAGGAAATTTTATGACTGGGGGCACCATCGATACGTACGTCAAGAACGGGATTTTGGACACCGTTCGCCCAAATATTTTTAAAGAAAATTTTAAAATATAGAAAAGCTGTGAAGTAAATTTTTTATTAAAAAATATATTCAAATAGTTTAAATGAAATACTCAAAAAATCCAATAATAATTTCTCCGGGTAACAAAAGTGTAAATGGTTCAGAAGTAGGTGACGAAAAAAGTATCAATAATTCAATAAATTATTTTAGTAATTTTAGACAAACAAAACATATACTCTGTATTATAGTAATCTACTCTCTCCGTCTCTAAATATTTATCACACTTGTATTACTGAGGTAAAATATCAAACTTTTTCAATTCATTTTATTTACATATTGATATAGAAATAAAAAATAAAATTTACATATCAAAAAACTACATGAAAAATTTTTCAAAATAAGAGGTGTCAAGAATATTTTATTTTATCAAATAACAAATGAAAACGTAGAAATAAACAAAAGTTCCTGCGAGTACTGAAAAGCAAGGGTGGCAAATATTTTGGGACGGAGGGAGTATATCTTAGTTCAATTATGATGTTTTGAAAATCTACATTTTCTCAATTGTATTTTACATGTAACAATTTTTTCAACAATGTATAGCTTCTTTAAAACTCCGTATCTTTTTGGACAAATATTAAACAACCAGCTATAATCAATTAAATGATCTCATTTTATATAAAGTAAAAGAGAAAATTATTGCAAATACCAAGTACAAATTTGGACAATAAAAAAATGTATTACATATAAATGAATAGCCAATAAATCTCCCCATATAAAAACTCAATTTTCAAATAAAGAAATACTATATGGAATTACCCATGTAGTGCGCAGCCCAAAATCTTCACCTATAGTAGTTATTTTTTTTGTTGAGATGGTATTTCAAAAATGGACTGGGGGCTCTTCGATCATTTTCTGACTGGGGGCACTCTATTTAGCCGAGCAAATATTTTTATTTTTTCTACACTAGCCATGCCAATTGACAGAGGGCAATTGCCCCCCATATAATTAACCTAGATCTGCCAATGACTACAGCATTCCGTTCGCGAAATTGATGGTCTCTTACCACTCAAACCACTGAATCTAGCGCCATCCATGCCCACTTTCCCAGCCCATCCCCCTGTCCCTCTCTTCTTAATCTCGCCGATTAGGCACTGCTTAATTAACAATTTATGGGAGGGGGTAAGGTTTAGGGCGGGGGTTAAGAGGTATAAATAATAAATTTTGCTCTGTAATGGCACTAGAGTGGTATCAAATGCCAGATGTAATGGTAAGATAAGGGTGGCGGTAGTTACCTGAACGTTGGCAATTGTGGCTGACCAACCTCGGACAGCAAAAACGGTACTCCAGAGTCAATTGGGCAGCAACAGAAGTTCTGTGCAGTAGCAATCAGTCGGGTAGCGATTTGGCCTGTTTGCAGCTTGACGATTGATTCCGATGACGACATTTGGGAGACCCTTTGAATTTAATGGAACGAATCGAGGTGAGTACGTGGACATCTAACACTAGAATATGCATCTAGGTTTGAAAATCCGTTCATAATTGTTATCGTGGTTGATCTATGTGATCTACCAAAAAGGGTAGTATGCATGAATTAAGCGTTGGCTGACAATATTATGTGCTTGGTATTGTTAGGAATGAGCTTTTGTACGTATTAATGCATGTTGGTATGGATTTGGTATTGGTTTTGTTGCTGAGGTTTAAATGGTGCAAGAACTGTAATTTTGTTGCGTCAGACGGAGGGCGGTACCGCCGGGACTGTATCGTGATACCCCCCCACACTCTATTTGTTTCGTTCTCCTTTGCTGGTAGCTATGACCGTTCAGTGCCTAGGTACCAGACGGACAATGGGCCCTGCCACCTAGTCGGTAATCGGATACCGTGACAATCCTATCTGAAGAATTCAACTGTTTCGGTCGGTACCCCCTTACAGTGGGGTCGGTACCCAGGTACCGTAGGGACGGTACCCCGTACCGTGATAGGTGCCATCTGGTACCTAGTTTCGGGTATTTCAGTTTATGTTCCGTCAAGGATTGATTCTGAAACTTTGTCTGTTGCATGACGGTAAACATGGGTGTTTACACCTAGTGTTAGGCCCCTATTTGATTATGTTGGGTATCTTATTAAATTCATTGTGGAGTTATGAATGTTGTATTATGCATTGTTAATGAATGTTGAGTGTATCACCTAGAGGAACTTTTGGGAATGACCTGAATGGATTAGTGGCAAGGTATGCCATATGTATAGTAAGTTAAAGCCATGTGGTACCTGCGGGGTCCAATGACTATTCGGGTAAAGACGTGTGCACATGGGATCTATGAACTGTCGTTCCAAAGGGGACAATGGTCTCACCCACCCAATGAGGAACTTATGAGTTGGTTTAGAGCTTGGCATTCGTTCCGAAAGGGAAGGTCATGACTCTTGTAGGAAAATAACAAAGATAAGCCTTAACCTAGAATATGTTATGTGCCCAGTAAGTGGAAAATATCAGAGTTAGTATAAGCCTTAACCTAGCATAGGTTATGAGGCCAATAAAAAGGATCAAGTCGGGTGATCAAGTAGCGAGAGGGTAACACTCTATGTTTGGTGAACATTGTTATATAATGTCTGTGATGTTACCTATGATATGCTTGTGTGATGATATCATGTCATAGTTATGAATTAGTGGATTCGCCTATGTGTATGTTCGAAGTGTTAGATTTTTCTCAATAAGTTTCATTGCTGAGCGTGTAGCCCTTTTTCCTGTTTGTTACACGTAGGTAATCGTGGAAGGGTTGTCTTTGGAACCATTCTGGGGGCAGCATGACTGAGGAGATGTACGGATGCCAGGATTTAGAAAGGGTTGTTATTGAATTGTATTATAAAGTTTATGCACTATTTGTATAAACTCTGATAAGTATTTAAATTGTTTTAAATTGTTTGAGTTTAAATTAAATGTTTTAATTTCTTGAAAAATATTGTATGTGGATACCAATTCAGTAGCAACCCGGTATGCTAATCTATTTATTCGGATTACGCGGGTTGGAGTGTTACAGTTATTATTATTATTATTATTATTATTATTATTATTATTATTATTATTACTATTATTATGATATTGATTTTTATTATTATTATAATTACTATTATAACTATTATTATTATTTTATTATTATTATTATACTATATTACTATTACTATTATTATGATTATAATTATAATTATTATTATCATCATTATTATTATAATTACTATTATTAGTATTAGTTATTAGTATTAGTACTACTATTATTATCATCATCATTATTATTACTATTATTATTATTATTATTACTAATACTATTATTACTACTACTACTATTACTACTATTATTACTACTACTACTATTATTATTATTATTACTATTAGTATTATTTTTACTATTATTATTACTATTAATATTATAATTGTTATTAATTGTTTTTATTTATAAATCTAATAATTTTAGAATAAAATTTATTGATTATAATATGATACGAGTTATCATTATAATTTCTTAAAAGTTACCGTATTAAATTATGGTAATAGTTTTAATTTTAATCAAATTTAGATCGATCTAATCTTTATATATAAAATTTGAGAGTTGGGCTTCCGGAATTGCGACACGTGGCAGGTCTACTTGGCAATTTTTTTTACAAATCATCCGCCACGTTTGATGACTTTGATAACATGGCAATTGTGACATGTGCCACACTTACTAGGCAACTTTTTGACATATCAGCATGCCATGTCATTAAGTGATATTTAAAAATATAGTTAAAAAAATATATATTCTATGGAAATTAAGTTTTGTAATGGTTACACACAAATTCCTAAGCATAATCGCGTTTAAAAACTTTTTTTTATCTTAATTCATTGTTGGAAAATATTTAAGTTAAATAATATATTTTGAAATTCCAAAAAAAGAAGTCATATTCAAAAACAATAATCAAAACAAATAAATTTATTCTAAGAACGGATAGATTGGTACGACTAATGGAAATTACATGCGAATATTTTTTATTACTTTGAATTAGTACTAATTGGAAAGATTTTCCTATTTTTGAAAAAAGAGAAATAAATATATAAAAGGAAAGATATTTTTATAGGCATGTTTATTTAATAGAGCATTAATTTTATTTCGTATATATTAAAAGAATTTTAAGTCAAATAACAAGTATGTTCTATTTTAAAATTAGTATTGTCCATATTCAAATTATGATTTTCCATTACTAGCTTCTTAAAAATTTATAAATTCATGTCACAAATTACTATTTTCCATTAATAACTTTTTAAAATGATGAAGACTTGGTAAGAGGGTATTTATTTGTAAGAAATTAATTATTATTTTGTGTTCCTAATCGAAATATTTATGGTATACTAAATATATATAAAAGATTAGGTATAATATCTTGGTAAAGAAGTTGAACTATGACAAAGAAAAGTATTCATTTGATCTTAGAGGATATTTATGTACGATTAATAAAGATCAGTGAAATACATCTAATAAAATAATGAGAGTCGTGACAGCTGAAAGAGAAAGTTTTTTTGTGCATGGTTAGAGTGGAACTGGAAAAATATTTCTCTATAAATCATTGTCTGCGTTTCTAAGGTCAAATGGTAAGGTTGTTTTGAATGCTGCATCCAAATGCATTGTAGCATTGCTTTCTCCTGGGAGAATGACAACATACTCTAGATTTTTAATCCCTATGTCGCTAACTGAGTGCTCATCATGTGCAATCAAACAAGGAAGCCCGAAAGTAGACATAATCCAACAAGTTTAATCATATGGGATTAATCATCAACAAGAATAGTTTTATTTTTGAGGCATTGAATTTCATAATGAGAGATGTAATGAGGTTTTATAATAATTTCATAAATGAACCATCCGAAGGGAAAATAGTTGTAGTGGGAGGTAATTTTATCTAAATTCTTCGAGTTTTACTCATAGCTTTGATAGATGAAATTATAGGTGCTACCATCAATTCTTCACAAATATGGTTGAATTGTACTACAAAGTTTATTTGTTGACCAAGAACATGAGATTTCACTTATCTACACCCTCTTGCACACATAGGGAGACACAAGTTTTTCTGATTGGATAATCAAAGTCGAAGATAGAAAACTTGGACAAGTTATCGGTGGAACTACTAACGTTGAAATCCCGACTGAATTATTGATTCTTGAAATAAGTTATCCCCTCAAGAGTATAGTGGACTTTACTTATTTAAACCTATTAGAGAACATGAGAATTTTTTAGGACAATGCACTATTAACACCCATGCTCGAATCTGTTGAATGGTAAATGAATTTTTCATATCCCATATTCGAGAAGGTGAAAATGAATACTTAAGTTTTGATTCTTCATGCCAAGCGAATTTAGATGTAGTTGTTAAAGATGATTGTTTAACAATTGAGTTTTTTTAATGAAATCAAATGTTCGGGGATGCCAAACCACAAAATATTATTTAAAAAGGGGTACATTGAAGAACATTGACCAAACATCTAGATTGTGTAATGGTAGAAGATTAATCATTGAATAACTATGAAAGAGCATTATTAGTGCAATTGATGTTTCAAGAAATCGAAACTGAAAAATGGTTTACATACCCCGAAGAAATTTGGTATCATCCGATTTGAGAGTACCTCTGAAACTCTAAAGAAAAAAATTCTCAATAGTCTTATGTTTTGTTATGACTATTAACAAAATTCAAAGTCAAACATTGTCTTTTACTGTATTATTTTTCACCAATTCGGTATTTACTCATGGTCAGACTTATGTTACTCCTTCACGAGTAAAGGCAAAGACGTGATTAAATATATTAGTTCTAGATGCCAATAGAAACCCTTATAATCATACCAAAAATGTTGTGTACCCTGTTTGGAATTAAAAAAAATCGAGAACACTTTTAATTCTCCAAATATAATTTATTCTACTTTGTCGTTGTTATTCATTAATTAAAAATCGTGTTAAAAATATATTTACTTAGAATCTAGAAACTATATTAAGTTGAAAAAAAATGTAGAATCTACAAAAATTGCAATGGTTCGAGTGAGATAAGAGGAATAGAACGTCAAAAAATGATCTCCGCACCTTAAGTGAAATCTCTCCGCCGGCGTCGGATTAGATCTCCGCTCCCCGCAAATTCTCAATGTTCGAGTGTAGAGAAGTTGATCGGCGGCGATGCGAGTAGAAATCGGTAAATCATAACTTTCGATTTTATCTTCTTGTATTTACAATTCTGCTTCACCTTGGTCCCTGGTGCTAGGGCTTTCCATTTGTCATCATCCAATTTATGTTCCTTCCTGATTTTCTATCGGTTAAAATGTAAAGTATAATCCCAGGCGAGCGAAACTAGGGTTTCTTTGTGTGTTTATTTAGGTCGCACGAAGAAGAATCGAAAAAGCCTTCCGTATTGACGAGAGATTCCTCATTTTGCGTGTTTAACCGGATCTAGTATGGATCACGGCAGTATTTTAGACACGATCGGAGGTGAGATTACCGGCGTGATGGCTCCGGTGTCCATATGCATGTTCCTGGTGGTCCTCATTGTTTACTCACTCTCTTCCACCACCACAACCACCACTATCCAGACTGCGGCGAATCTGGTTTACCTAGAGGATCCCTCTGATTCCACTTCACAGAAACTGGAAGGGGCTCTGCTCAATGCTTTGGTCTTTGTCATCCTCCTTGTCGTTGTCACGTTTGTCCTCGTGGCCCTCTACTATTTCCGCTTCACGAACCTCATCAAGAACTATGTTCGGTTCTCTGTCTTCTTCGTATTGGCATCCATGGGTGGCTTCATCTTCCTCACTATCATCCAGCACTTCAACATCCCCATGGACGCCATCACCTGTGCTATACTCCTTTTCAATTTCAGTACTGTTGGGGTCATCTCCGTCTCTTCACAAGGGGTTCCCATCCTGCTTAATCAGATGTACATGGTGGCTGTTGGAATCATTGTGGCAGTGTGGTTCACCAAATTGCCCGAGTGGACCACGTGGGTTTGCCTTGTGATGTTGGCTTTATATGACTTAGTTGCAGTCTTGGCACCTGGAGGACCACTGAAGATATTGGTGGAGTTGGCTTCAACACGGAACGAGGAACTCCCTGCTCTAGTTTATGAGTCCCGTCCTAGAGAGCAAAGGAGAAGAGGTGGTTCAGGGATTGGACTCTTGCTGGCTGGGGTTTCTGATATTGAACTTCAAGCCGTCGATGGAAGAAACGGACAATCAGTGATAAATTTCCAAAATGAGAATGTTGAGATTGTGAGCGTGACTCAGCCAGAAATCGTGGAGGAAACTTCTCCACTGGTGACTAACAGTAACTTGACAGAAAGGCACAATGAGGGCATAGAAATGAGTGAGATGGAGAGGGAAAGTGAAGAAGCGGGGGAAAGAGAGAGGGGGATCAGGCTTGGGTTAGGGGACTTTATCTTCTACAGCGTGCTTCTCGGAAGGGCTGCATTGTTTGATCTGATGACAGTGTATGCATGTTACCTTGCTATCATATCTGGATTGGGATGCACACTTATTTTGCTTGCTGTGCGACGACATGCTTTGCCCGCTCTTCCCATTTCAATCGCCCTCGGGGTTATGTTCTACTTTTTGACAAGGCTCTTGTTGGAGCCCTTTGTAGTTGGCGCTTCAACAAATCTGATGATGTTCTGACCTTTGTTGTTGCACAAAAACTCTATATATTTCTCATAACGGAGTTCAGAGTTTTAGCTTAAGGAGATTGTTTATGCTTTAGTGTGGAAATGGAAAATAGCTAACTGAATGTATGATGGTGTACTGCCAATGATCTGCGTATTCACAGAAACTATGAAGACTTGTTTCCGAACCAGTTAATCCTCTTCTCAAGTACTGGTATGTATGGGTAATGTCCCCGTCGTGTATTAACATTCGACTATTGAATTAGGTGTCATGTTGAAACTTGATTTTGGTGATCATGATTACTTGCTTAATATAGAAGGATGCTTAAGTTAAATTGTGGTTGAGTTTTTATTTTATCTTCAGATGAATGTGAATATATGAGTACCTGACCACATATTAATCAAGACTTCTTAGCTAGGATGTATAAAGAATGGTTCTTTATATGTGATTGGTTGGTGATCCACTTTGGATTGTGTATTAGCTGTTTTGGCCAACTGATTCTCTTTAAAAGTGTTTTATTAGATGATTCTCTTTAAAGTGTCTTATTAATGCTGGGTTTTGTAATGCTCATTGGCTGGGTGCTCTGGTCTCTTTTGTGTCTGGTCATAGGGCCTTAGTGCTATTCAGAGCTTCTGTGTTTTCAAAGGTAAAAAAAGATTTTTTTTTATAAAAAATAATAAAAATCCAAATTTAATCTATTTCTGTTCCCATTTTTTCCTATTAAAAAAAACTTCTGTTTTACTCATTCTTACTCATTTTATTACTGCGTATATTAAAAACGTTGGTGATACTACATACACTTGTATAAAACAAATAATACTTCCTAGTAGTTCCTCCTATAACATTTACTTGTCTAATTCATGTGGTGTGCCTACAAATATTTTTTGTGGACTTTCTTCCATACTCATTTTTCGTTTTTGTTTTTAAAAAGAAAAATAGAAAAGGCTCATCACGGTAGTAAGCAAATGCTTTTTAACCGTAATCTCTAGGTGCACCAAATGCACGGTGCACCTCGGGTGCATTAAAGAATTTGTCTTGTTAATTAGTCGTCTATTTTTTGTATTCAATAAAAACAATAATACGAGTACTAAAACTATCCTAATTATCATAAAGATAGGGTTTGAGCATTGTTGAATGAGTAATAAATTAATCTCAAGGAGTTACGGACTACTCGTATATGACCTTCTAAATTCATTTCTTGAAGATGAGATACTCCATCCGTCCAACTCTCTTTATCCACTTAGCTTTTGGCACAAATACCAAGGAGTGGGATAAGAGAGTGGAAAGAGACTAAAATGCCCCTTATGGGCCATGCTGAAGAGAGAAAAAGCGGAAAAAGTGGACAAAGAATACCGTGCCAAAAAGGAGAATTTAGAAAGTACTATGACTACTTGGAGAATGTAGAAAGTACTATGACTACTTTTTGTCCATCCTTTACACCATTACACACAAAATTCACACGTGAATTCTAAAATTTGGCTCCAAATCTAAATTTAGAAACATTTTTCCCTCTTAAATCTAAAAATAGATGACCTACTCCACACATGTGTACTCCGCATAAGTTAGCTTTTAGCATATTCTCTTCACAAATTTTTTCTTCTTCTTTGCCTTTACTCTAAGAGCCTTTCTTCTTTTTGCATATTCTTCTTTGCCTTTTTTGCTTTTCTTGTTTGCCTGGCATATTCTTCTTTGCCTTTTCTTCCTTTTTTGTATTCTTTGATTGAAGAATTCGAAACATCAAGAAACATGGAAAAGGTAAAGAAAACACACAAACTTTCAGATAGAGACATCTAAACAATGCTACAACACTTAAAGAATGGCCAGCCTGCTAGGGGTGTCATGAAAAACCTTGTAGGCAGTCACATGATAAGCTCCAAAACAGTCCAAAAATTGGGGTGTGAAGTAAAAAACAGATTGAAGATGGAAAGACTATCGCCTTACGCAACAAGATGGAAGGCAAAGCATATGGCAGAGAGAAGATAAACATAAGTGTGGATGAGGTCTCAAGTGTTTCTCCTACAAAAAGACGGATTGTAAGGGCATTAACAAAGGCCATTTCTAGGTCTAAGAGTACTATGCACAAGCTTGTGAAATATGGACAGATAAAGGCTCACACAGTTCCAATAAAGCCTCACCTCACAGAAGAGAACAAGGTATGAAGATTTTAGTTTTACCTAAGCAAACTACTACCAAGTACCTTGACTCATAATGAACCCAAGTTTGAATGGTTCTATGATTATGTGCACATAGATGAGAAGTGGTTTTACATGACCCAAACCACTCAAAAGGTGCACAAAAGCAAATGAACCTGTATAGGACTATCCAATCAAAGAAGTTCATAACTAAAATTATGTTCCTTACCACATCGGCTAGGCCACAATAATCAGACTCAGGTGACGTTGCATATGATGGGAAAATTGGAATTTTCCCATTCTTATTCAAAGAGGCATCTTTTCAAAATAGCAGAAATAGACCTAAGGATACAATGGTTATCAAGCCTTGTCTGTGACGAAGGAAGTGTATAAGGAATTTCTTATTTCCAAAGTGATCCCTGCAATCAAGGTAAAGTGGCCCAGAGATGGTTGTAAGGGAACATTCATTCAGCAAGAAAACGCAAGACCTCATATTCTTGGGGCTAATCTAGATTTTCTGATTGTAGAAAAGAGTGATGAGTTTGACAATTAGTTAACCAATCAACCACTAAACAGTCTTGACCTCAATGTTCTAGATTAGGGTTACTTTAGGGCTATTCAAGCACTGCAACAAGAGAAAAATTGCAAAAAATTGATAAACTAATTAAGGCTGTTGTTCAGTCATACTATGAGTTTGACACAAACCTATCAAATTGTGTGGCTTAGTCTGTAGTACTGCATGTGGGAGGTGATAAAAGTACTAGGGGTAATGCATACAAGATCTCACATGTTGGGAAGAATACACTACTCAGGAAAGGAGAACTACCTCAATCAGTAAGTCCTGACACAGGAGCAGTTGCCAAAGCTCAAGAACATTTGTCATTGTTAGAAATGAATGGGAGAGTGTACGTCAATGGTAATATAGTGGGGTAGTTCATGGATGAAGATGATAATGATCTTCATACATGAACTACTTTAAAGGAATGAAGTGTGGCCATTTTTTGGGCAAAAGTAAGGACTAGCTTTCATTACAATCAGAAAGTATAGATTCTGGATGAATTTTTTTTCTTAAAAGAAAGTGTTGTAAGTTGGGCCTTATTTTTGTAAAAACAAGTGTAGCATCTACATGTAAGACCTTTTTTTGTTTAAGAGCAAGTGTAGTAACTTAGCCCTGGCTTTTGTAAAAACAAGTGTAGTATCTGGATGGCCTTTTTTGTTATACACCATATGTAGTAAGTTAGGCCTTACTTTTGTAAAAATAAGTGTAGCATCAACATGTAGGGCCTTTTTTGTTTAAGAGCAAGTGTAGTAACTTAGCCCTGGCTATTTTAAAAACAAGTGTAATATCTGCAAGTGTAGTAAATTGGTCCTTTCTTTTGTAAAAGTAATTGTTTTGTTTCGAAGGCCATTTGTGTAAAAAAAAGTGGACAATGAGAGTGAGACAGAGGAGAGCGAGACTGTGGTAGTACTCCATACTTGTTTTGGGGATAAGGAAAACCTAGAAAAGCCTTTGCTAAGCACAAACATCCTAGTCTAGAGAAGTCTCTTCAACATTCCCCAATAGGATGAATGGAGTGACAACAACGCGATTTCTATGCGTTGTACACTACAGTACATTCATCACTGACCACACCCACAAAAATCACAAAGGGACACAAGAAGAACCAAGTGCAATATCTAAAACAAAATTCCATGGACATTATCATTCCAGTCATATTAATACGAAATAAAGTCATCTAGGGACGAGATTTCAGGGACATGAACTTCACAGAACATAAAACTCCATATTGAGTATTCACCAAAAGAACACCACTAGCAAAAAGAGTGCATAATTTAGTAAAAAACGGAGTAGTACTTCCTGGTTAGGCATCGTAATTCTCATAATTAGGCACAAAGCATACTTTGTCCTCATCATTATCATCGGGATCAACAGGTGGAAGAGCGTGGCATACGACACGGAGTCTCTTCTTTATGCTTGTCACTGACCGGTGCATAGAGGGCGACTGATCAGAAAGTTTAACTGTCACCACATTCCCTCTGTCATTCTCAGATGTTGAATCCCTGCCCCCTTCGTACCTTTGTAGACGGTGCATAGTACTCTGGTGGAACAATGAACCTTGGATCAAATTCCAGCTTCGCAACTTCAATGAATGGTTCATAAGGGGCAACAAATTGAGGGGGCATTCATTCACCATCAGGAAACGCATACAGAGACAGATCAGAATCCTTCACTCGGGCATCTGGAGTCCCTGGGATGATTGAGCATAAATCAAAATTTGAGGATTCTATAATTTCTTTTCCCAGGAAGATTATATCTAAACACGATGATGAGAGAGAACGAGATCATATCTAAGCAAGATGATGAGAGAGAACGAGATCCAATCAAATCATAAAGATGAGAGAGAACGAGATCAGATTTAAAGATAAGAGGTAGTAGGTCTGTAAGATAAGAGGTAGTAGGTTTGTAAGTTCGTAATTTCATATCTTTCTTCTCATTTAATTTTTTATACTCTCCAATATAACATTTTGATATTACAATTTCACAATTTAAAAATATAATATTTCAAAATTTTATATCGAAATAAGTCTATTTATGTTAAATTTATATCACAATTCAATTTATTTTTCTATAATTTTTTGTTAAAATTTTAACCATAAAAACTAAACTAGGAACAAAGTCATGAGAAGAGGGAGTAGTATTGTGGAAAAAGGGAGGAGGCACTCATTTTACCACCAAACTATCGGTCACTAGCACGGAGGTCCTATTATCCACTTCTCGAGTTCTCGTTAAAATAGCGAGGCTGAAGGCTCCTCCTTATCCACAAGCTATGGCTGCCGCCGTCCTCATCTTCAACGCCGCTCCGACCACCGTTTTTCTCTCGTTCCACTCATCATCCCGGTTGTCATCTTCTTTGCTCGCTGCTCACCCACGTAAGCATCTATCTGATTCCTCTCTCATTTGCGTTTTAGTTTTTCTCGCATTCCCGGATGCCAGAAATTTCCCCACCCATGAATAGTTCTTGCTGTTCTTACTGTTTATTGGTGATGTTTTCTGCTATATTCACTTTCTCCTGAGTGTTTAGTGGATTTCTATTGATGTGTTCTGTTCGGGGAGGGGTAAGTATCTGTTACTCTGTTAGGCATTTCATCGAACACCTGGCGTGTTTGCAGCATTTCCCCCTTTCTGTTCTTTCACTCCAGTTGGTTTGAAATTTTCAAGAAATTGTAATTGCATCGATCTGTTTGAATGAGTAATGAAAATTAGGAGATGTTGAAATGCTTAAAATTTAGAGGCAGATGATGGAATTAAAAGGCATAAACTGTAAATGGAGCTAAAAGAGTCATTTTTCCCAATGTTTTAGTTCTAGGCAAATAATGGACTATAGGCTCATTTGGGAATGATGTTTTCAATTCTCGTTACCGTTCAGAATTATTTTTTAATAGTGCAGATTAGTTTTGAAAACGTTAAAGCTAAACCTTACCGTTAGATAGCTTTTTTAAAACGTTAAAGCTAAATACGGAAGTTGTCAAACAGGCACTATATCAAAACGGAACACTAAAGTTCTCTTCTTACTTTCTATGAAGTTCGGCTCGTAGATTTATCAATGCATCAAGGGTCAAACAAAAACTTCTTTTTTTTTTGTAGGGGTAATATCTTTTCTAAAGTAAGACCCCAACATAGTTGAAACTATATTGTGTTTGTTGTTGTATGATTAAATTAGGTGGCTTCATTCCCTTAAATAGTAAATAGACCTAAAGTACTCAATCTGAGTAGAATATCAGATCATGGCTTATCCATTTCACTAACTTGTGAACCCTTGTAATTGGCAACAATTAGCCCTTAGATTTGATACAACTTGTAATGTTGTGGCATCAAAGTCTAGCATCTATCCCCGGATCCTTGGGCCGCATGTTCTCAAAGAGAGAGATGCATTGGTTACGAATGCAGCAGCTTCCACTGTGAGTGTGGATGGGAATAATCCAGAGCCGCCGCCACCTGAAAGTAGAGAGGAGAACGTGTCCGTTGAGAACCTCCCTTTGGAGTCCAAGGTTCAGAAGAATCTTGAGCAGAGAATGAGGACGAAGATGGCAAAGAAAATTAGGATGAGAAGAAAGCGGCTACTGCAGAAGCGTCACTTGAGGAAGAAGGGAAGATGGCCGCCTTCAAAGATGAAGAAAAACCAGAATGTTTAGCCTTTTTGTGATCTTCCTATCAAATGTTTTGTTCAATGTGCACAAGGAACTAAAACATTTTCTTTGTTCTGTTGATCGATTTATATATAAACTTCTGACAATTGTATCTTGTGAGTATATTAAGACCATCTCGTTGGTATTAGCGGGAGACAGCATCACAGCAGGAGTAAATTCCACGTATTGTTCTTTGTAACAGGAGATTTTTCATATATGGTCCTTAATTCGAGGATATATTATACCCGTGGTCCTCACTATTTAAGAACTACGGTATTCCATAATGAGTTTTTTAAGGACTATATATGGAAAACAATAATGGAGTATTTGGGTCAAAGGATCGATTATGGAATGATTGTCAAATATAGAGGACCATGAATGTAATATCTTAAAATTGGGAAACATGTACGGAAAACCCCCCGTTATGAAAGATGATTTATGAAATTTACTCTTTTTATTTATATTTTTTGATAGTTGCAGAGAATCCATTTCCAAACAGTACGAGGTATTTCATTTGTAGGGTTGTGTTATGTGTATACCACCAACTTGTATATTACTCGTACTTTATACATCACAATACACGATATTTTTTGTTCTCACAAACATCCGTCTTGTTTTTTGCTCGCGATGTTGACACCTCAAGGGCAAGACAAGTGTCCACGAGAACGGAAAATGATATCCTTACATACAAAAGCATATTTCTATAATTTAATAGTGGTTGATTGATATATACACCATCATTATTATAGTTTCACCATGTTATGGAAGGTCAAAACCATTAGAGAACAATATTTCACTCATGAGTTTGACAAGGTTTTTGGTGGAATATATGATAAACAAATAAAGGGGGAAATTTACTAATGGTGTACCCATTGCAATGCCATGGAAGCATATGTACATTTTGTTGCCATTTAGAGCAGAATGAGTGCATCACTTTGTTTCTCATTCCCATCTGCTCACTTTCCCATATGTGAATAACATTAATAATATTATTAATGTATTTAGAGCATATATTACATCACAGATTAGAGACTGATTAAACCAATGTTTCATTCCTGAGAATATTAAACTTGCAGAGAGGGCATGTCGCATTAATCCGAAGCCATCTACAAATGCACCCGTGGTCGAAATGGTGGTCGCATGGAAGCCTACACACCTCTGCTCCATCACTATATCTATTCAGGCAAATACAACACTCCTGAAAAGTGACATTGACAAATTGATCAGGCAAAATACATAGAGAAAACAAACATATGTGTATAAACATAGTTTAAAAGAGTTCAAGTGCTATGTAGTATATACGTAACACCCTGGCCCCACCACGGCAGGCCCCACAAATCAACACAAGTCTTTCTTGCGCACTTTGGCTTAAAACTTTATAGGGGTTCGGTCACCCATATTAGAATTGCTTCAGGTATGAGTAGTACTTGCAATCCTTTTGAGCTTTTTCTATTCTATCTCGTCTTATTACAGGGTATTACAATAGAAGATTAGTAGTGAAGAAGAAATGGGGTTGATGCTCACTGAGTCGTCTGGATTAAGAGAAAGTGTGGGCACGGACAGACCTTCTTCAAATGTCGTCTTATCAGTGGCATTATTGGATTGGCAATATCTGTACTTAGGAAGAGCCGTGATATCATTTTCAGATGCTCCCTCTCCCAGCTTCAACGCATATGCAACCGTTGCTAGAACCGGAGCGCAACAGAATAGAGCAATGAAGAGAGTGAATGCCATTGTGAAGGAAAATATCACAAAGAACACATCGAATGCCAAGAAAATCACGGATAGCCTGCAGTTTGAAATAGGCTGTCAATGTCAAGATGGATAAAACAGGTTTTGAAGAAGAAGCAGACAGTGTAAAAGCCATTATATATAGTGTTCATACCAGTAAAGATAGGGAGAATCTCGGAGAAGTGTTTGGCCACCCATTACAATCCCATAGAAACCAAAAACCCACCAGGCTAATGAGACCACTGTATTAATTGACTCCAAATTCTTTATGATGCTACAACAACAACAACAACAATAACAGCCCAGTAAGGTTTATGAACTATCCCTTAAAATCATGTGCTACCATGCCATATTAACAATTAAGAGTGCTCTAAAAGCATGTTACACTGCATCTAGGTGTTAGAAATTGGGTTTAACCAGTTCTTAGTTGGGCTTATGCTTAGCATAGTTATAGGAATCGAACTCGGGTTTATCCGTTTTGGATCCCCTGCCTATCTTGCCAAAAGAGTAAAAGTGGTGAGTGGAAAAAAAGGGGGAGGGGTACCTGGTGTGACAGAGAGGAAACAAGGAGAAACCATGAAAGCTGATCATCCTCTCATATTCAACCCACACAAAACCCACTTGCAAGAGACACTGAAGGGCATACCCACAAACCCATAGCCTTAGGGGGGCAGATGGCCTCTCCCCTGTGGTGCTCACCAGCATAAAAACAGACACCGTAGCGAACGACAGGTTCCATATAACATCAAGAACCAGAAAGGGTCTTGAGTACCCACAACCCTCCACCAATCCATCATCATCATCATCATCATCATTCATAGCAATGTGGTGGTAATCTGATGAGGAAGATGGCATTCTGTTTGGGGTCTCTCTTTTTCTTCTTTAATTTCTTTTTTCTTCTTCTTCTTCCCCTTCTGTACTGCGAATTATATGTGTTTGTGGTGAGAGGAGAAGGAGAAAGGAGTGGGTGGATTGTACTGGTGTGGGGGCTGACTAATTTTAGGGAGTTGGCTTTTTGGGTGGGAACTGGTGAAGGAAGGAAGTAAGGAAAGATATGATTTCTTTGGGGGGGTGAAACTGAGGAAGAAAACAAAACCGGCGAACTAAAAGAAGTAGGGTTTGGAGAAGTGTGGGATTTGGCAATGTCAAATACGGGCAATTGGCGAACAATTAGTTCGTTCAACAGCTTTAAATTCAACAAATTGAAATATTTACATATCTTATTATTATTATCTCAATAAAATAAAAAATTCATCTAATGTTACAATTTATTTAAAAGTTGTGTCCTAAATATAAAATTTAATTACCATTATAAAGTCACGTAAATTATTAAAATCTTAAATGCATTAATTTATAATTTCCTTTCCGATTTTGAAATTTTCCTTAACTATGTTTCTTTGAAATATGTTCTAGTCAACATTTTAAAATTTTGAAAAAAATAATTGTATACTATTTTCTTTCATTAAACATTATATAATTTTTAAATGTGCATAAACTAATACGGATTATTTTTTATAATGTACAAGTTCTAAGCATTTGAAAAATAATATATGTTCATACATTAATTGAATAAGCAAAAAATAATTGTGTAAAATTAGTATTGTTTATTTTTTTAATGTGCATATGTCAGATGTATACTAAAAACTATATTTGTTGCATAAAAATTCTCTATTTGAGTTTTATAGAATAAAAAAAGATTTAAAAAAGAAAAAAAGATTGTTTTAATATTTCTGAGACATACGAAAAATAATGTGCTGAAAGTACGGGAATGAATTGGCAATTTCTATTATGCCCTTTTTTCTCAAACTCTCACTATTTTAGAATAGTAAACTTTTTCTAATAAAAAAAGAATATGAAATTTTTTGAAATAAAAATAACTCGAACCTTGTAAGCACTGTTGGCCATGTGTGCAGCAATTGTCCCGTGGCGGAGGCTATGTGGGCCAAGTCACAATCAAATGTCGTGGGCGCTTGTGTGCTAAATGCACTATAAGGCTAGGGTATGCGCCTCTTCTAACACCGATTGGTTTTAGAAGAGTTGGTAGCCCATGAGGTCCTACAGGTGGTATCAGAGCCAAGGTCACGAGTTGGATTCCCAGCGGGAGCAATTGCTGAGGGGGAGATTGTTGGCCATGTGTGCAGCAATTGTCCCGTGGCGGAGGCTATGTGGGCCAAGTCACAATCAAATGTCGTGGGCGCTTGTGTGCTGAATGCACTATAAGGCTAGGGTATGCGCCTCTTCTAACACCGATTGGTTTTAGAAGAGTTGGTAGCGCCTGAGGTCCTACACTAACCATTAACTAGATTCCAAATAAATTTGCGTCATTTTTATGCCTTTTTTTTCTTTTTCCCTCCTTATTTTAGATTAGCGAGAATATTGTAATTAAAGAAACATAATAGGAAATTTTTGGAATAAATACAACTCAAACCCTTGTAAGCTCTCACCCCTAACCAAAGTCTTCTTGTGTTCTCTACTCTAATTCGGCATTCCAGATTCATTCGCGAAAGAAATTTTTTATGTAAGTTTTTTGAATTATTACTCAGAACTCTGTTGTTTTGGTATTAGAATTCTTACAAGTGATATATACTCTGTAATCATTACTCCATTAGTAAGTGCAAATTTTTACATAATTACATAAAAATATAAATTATGTTAAATCATTAATTTCTAATACAAAACTAACATTGTCTCGGATCATTTTTGTAATTATTTTGATATATAAAATGTGATGTAAATTAGTTTTGTTTGGTTGAGACATTGTTATTTTATTTAAGTCTAGTTTTTCTTTCAACTAAGATTAATAAAAAGTGTTGCTTCATTTGTCTTCTTAGTTTTGTTACATGGATTAGTGACATACAACTGAAAAACAAAAAATTATATGATTAATATTGATTTTAAAAAGTAAAGAAAGAGTATGAGTCACAAAATAGAATTATAATTTCATAGAAAATATAATGGCATAAAAGAAATCAAAAAGAGATTAACATTTTAAACAATAGAGTATACATTTTAAATAAAATATGAAATTTATAAAATAAAATAATTGTTTTAACACTTTTTGTTATGTTTAAACTCTTTACAAATATTTCCAACTCTTTCGAATATCTTCTAACTAATTCTAGTTTTTTCCAACTCCTTCCAGTTTTTTCAACTCCTTCCAGTTTCTTCTAACTCTTTCCAATTTCTTACAACATCCAACTCTGTTTTTCCAATCGAAAAGAACAGACCCATATTCCACAATGATATGTCAAGTGAAAACAGATTGATTTTCAATCAAATTGCTTCATCCACATCCATCAACTAGGTCTTCATCCATCATCCAATTCATACATCACTCCTTATATATACACATCATATGCTAATACATTACGGGTGTGTTTGGTTGGTGGGAAAATACATTTTAAGAAAATTTTAAATCTATTCTCGGATGTTTGGTAAATTTAGTGAAAGGAAAATACTTTCCAAGAAAAATATTTTCTTCTAATTAAAGAAAAATAATTTACTCACTAATGCATCGAGACTCATGGTCTTGACATCATGGGTTTGTGTGATTGCTTTCACATCCATAACAGACTTTTTAGACACTGAACACAACAATTTGAGAATGAAATTCTGGTCTTCAAAAGGTTGCTCCAATCTTGCAACCTCGTTTGATCTAGTTTGATATTTCTTTAATCTTTCTATGAAAGTCAGTAATGCTCTCATCTTCTTCTATTTTAGGTTCTCAAATTGTGTCATAAGAATCTTATACTTTGCAGTTCTAACTTTTTCATCTCTTTCATGAGTGATTTCAATAATGTCCAAAGCCTCTTTAGCAATAGAAAAATATGAGATAAGTTGTATTGAGTGCTATCCATAGCTCTAAATTTTATATTAAGAGCCTTATCGCTAAACTCTACTCCACCAAGTTCTTCTTCAAATTATATTATTCAAACAATATAATGTTTCAGCACTCAAAATGTTTGATTAGCGTTTGCTTTCATTGGTTCAGCTCAGCATGTTTTGATGATCCTCCGAAGTCTCCTACATTGGGATTTTAGAAAAGCCCGCATGCGACCTTTCCAAAAACTGTTGTTTGATCAATGCAGAAGTGGTAGCCGTTGAATTTCTGCACCTTCTTCTACATCATCCATGGCTACGATTGAATCAAGCTAGGAAATTAAGCTTGACTTTCTCTGATCTAATAGTTATTGAAATCTTGTATGGCTCTAGAGATTACCTAATAAAACTTAATGTGCAAGCAAAACACACCAAGAAGATGCTATAGGACTGATCACATACACTGATGACAGACAGAGTGCTATATCCTCTTTTGTGTCACAATCCGGCCTGGTAATATAAAACATTACAGCAGTAAACAACACAGGAGGTTATTTACGCAGGTCGGAGCTAATTCTTCTACGTCTACCGGATCCACATTTGTGTAACAGTCCTTCACTTAACCAATAGGTCGTCTCCTCTAACGTTTATGACAAAATCTACCTTGCGCATGCCTTTTAACTCAAACCCTGTTTGAGTCCAATTCAATTGCTTGTTACACTTTTTTCGAGACCTTCCAAGGACATGCTTGTAGCCCTTATCTAGATGAACAATGTATTCAGCTTCTGGACAAGATGACAATCATAATCGTTACCAACTGTGAACTAGTTCGTCGTGAAGTCCAAGATTTCCTATGTGAAACTGAGCTTCAAAATATCATATATAGATGTTAAAGAACGACGTGATATTTCTCAATGTGTGGTGATGATCTTTCATAAATTCTTACGACTCTCGGATGTTTTTCTCGTGAAATCGGGTGATCATAACTATGAGGCAAGGCGCAATATATATAGGAAAAAATATAACCCTTGTTGATTTCTTGAAGGACACTCCAGCACAACTGGGCTCTTGCGCTAATAGGCAAGACGCAAATACGAGCATCATAAGTTGTGCGATAAATACTAAAGAACTTCAACGATTTTTGGACTTCTTACTATAATATGCTGCCATAAAATAAATATTGGCTAGCTACTATTTCCAGGTAGCTAGATTCCTTTGCTGAGTAGGATTCCTTCACAACATATGATGGACCAAGTGATGCAGCACATGCCCCAACAGTACGATGACGGACAAGATGCTACAACTCTACTTTAACACAAAACAGATAGACTACGACAACATTTAAGACATATTTGCTCATAAAAAATAATGCCAACACGAATCACAAAAACTCAACCAATATAGTACTTAGGGATGACAACACCTAGAACTAACAAAAAGGGCACAAAGTTTTAGTGATATGATGACCTTAAAAATGTGTTGTTTGCCTCTGAACTTCGTGAGAACAAGCGATTGATTGTTTACTTCACTAACAAAGTTTATGTGATACAAGATTATATTCTACCTTGAAGATGATGATTTGAACGGGTGAAAAACTTGGGGGACTTTACTATTCTAAGAAGACAACAAATGACAAAGTCTACACTGCGAGAGAAACAAGCAATGTGGACACATGGAACAAGTATTTGAGCCATCTTTTCCATGTTGTTGACAAACTTCTTCCGTAAGTATCTTCCATTAAAAGTCTTTTTCTGATATTCTATATGGTGTTTATTTCTAATCTAAACACTGTTGTACTATTTTTCCAATGATTTTCATAAATTGAATACTCCTTCCGTTGCAAATCTTTCTTTTCGTTTTGACTTGCGCGATAAACTTTTTTTACTTTGACCATGAATTATGGTAAAAATATATTAAACTGCAAAATAAATTTAATAGTAATAGATTCATTTCGACACTTAGTTTGAAATTTCATATTTTTATATTCTATAAATATATATAAATTATGATACTAATGGTCAAAGTGTTGTATTGAAGATTGTGAAAAGTGAAATAAGGATAAAGATATGAGATAGAGGGAGCATATCATTTTCGTTA